AAATTGATCAGGTTTATTATGTTTATTTTGTTTATTTTGTTTGTTTATTTTGTTTGTTTGAATAACTTTTCATACCCCTACACTTACTCTTACTCCTACTTTCGCATTTTTTCGAAAACTTACTTTTACTCCTACTTTCACATTCTTTTTAATATTCTCATTCTTTTGAAAATGTTTTTCCACTCCTTTCACTGTTCTCAATTTTTTCGCTTTTTTCCATACATTTTCCCATACATTTTTTCCTATTTTTCGTATATTTTTGTAAAAAATGAGTTGAAATCGAAAAAACATAAGAAAAAACATATCGCAAAATGATGATAATAAATGTTAAATATTAAATAAAAATATTGTTTATTATTATTTTAAAGTGAAATGTTATTTTTATTTTTTTTATTTTATATAACTCTAGTATTGAGCAAAAACTATTTTCAAAATAGTTGAAATTCAGAAGGTATACCTGCCACACAAATTCAAAATCCAAATGTCGAAATCTCAAATGCCAAAATCCCAAATCCCAAATTTCAAATTATGATTAGTATTTTTTACCAAAATCCTAAATCCCAAATCCTAAATACTAGTAATTTGAGATTTGGGTAACACATACAGTGGTGTGCAAAAAAAATAACAATTTTTTTAAAAAATGATTTGCAAATGTAACAAACCCGATTTTGGTAGAAATTACACAAACTAATACACAAATAAAAGCCATATGATCGCTTGATCGTCTTGTAATAATAAAAATTTTCTCACATAATAAAAATTATATTTTTACAAGTGTTGAAATAGCACCTTCCAAGCAAGAAACCCAACGACAAACCATATTACATTTCTGGAGGCAAGGAATAACTAAAGTCGCTGAAATATACAAATTGACAAAGATTCCATATAAAATTATCTATAGAAACCTAAAAAAAATAAAAGAAACTGGCGAAGTTAAGCATAAAGGGGAAAATGGATGTATCAAAAAAATAACGCCGGCAGCATCTCGTGCTCTTGGGCAGTATGTTCGAAGGTAACCATCAATTTCCGTGGGGGCTCTTGCTTCTAAATTAGAAGATATTGGAATAAATGTCTCCCGGTTAACAGTTTCAAGATATTTGGCCGACCATGGATACCGGAATTCTTTTTCTTTCAGTACACCAATGCTCACATCTACTCATAAAAAAAAACATGTCAAATGGGCACAAAAACATAAAGATGATAACTGGAAAAAAACACTTTTTAGTGACGAAACATCTTTTCAACTATTCCGCAACACAATTAGACACTGGTACAAGGGAACAAGACTGGTTCGTCATATGCCAAAGGACCGAACTAAAATTTTTGCGTGGGGGATTTTGTACAAAAGGAAAAACAAGTCTTTTCTGTTTTAAATGTATAATAGATGGAAAATTTTATGTAGAAATCTTAGAAAAATATCTTCCGGAGGTTAATAGAATGTTAAAAGGACGATGGCGGCTACAACAAAATAATGACCCGAAGCACACCAGCCGTATTGCCAAAGAATTTCTTAATAATAATATTTGAGAAGTTATGGATTGGCCTTCTAATAGTCCGGACCTGAATCCTATCGAAAATCTTTGGGCAATTGTTAAGAGGAACTTGGAGTTACGTCAACTAAAAAATATTACCGAATTAGAAAGTTTTTTGGATGAAGAATGGGAAAAAATTCCAAATAGTATTCTAATTAATCTTGTAAATTCAATGCCACAACGTTGTAAAGAGATTATTGAAAAAAATGGTGAATGAATATTATATTAAATTTTTTTTAATAAAATCTGCTGATTTTTGGCTTTCAAATGATATAAAATACATTTTAATTGATTTGCTAATCATTGAGATAACGTGATTTTTAAAATTGTCATTTTTTTTGCACACCACTGTATATCAGAAGGTAGTCGAAGAATTAAGAACTGACCAAAAATTAATAGCGGAAGATATTTCGAAATTAAAAATTAGCATGGCAGCCAATAACAAAGAATATATAGATGTAATAAATTTTTATTTTGTTTAAAAAATTACGTAATATTTTAAATATTAATAAACTTTAATATAAATAGATAATGATCACTAACGTTGCAAAGGAGCTATTAACCAAAAAAATTTATCCGACGTTCAAGGATTATAAAGAAGCAACCTTAATATACGTACAACGGAATGATAAGGAATTTTATAATACATTTGATTCTCATCGATGGAATTTGTATTATGAACGAAAATTAAGAAAAAAGGTAAGTGCAAAAGTAGAGTTTTATAATATAAAAATCTATTAATTTTAATGTATAATGTTATAGTTAACCGTAAAATTACGAAATAAACGTGAAACACTATTAACCTGTATAAAAAAGGTAATTTTTTATGTTTTTTGTTTACCTGAAATAAAAAATAAAGCGAAAGCAGATGAAATCTCCTTGTGAAAAAGTCACCTGACTGTTTTTAAAGCTTACAATAGTCTTTTAAAAATATTAATAATAATGAAAACTCCTTGACCTATATGACGCAAGTAATAGAAAAAGTTTAGCTGAAAATGGAAGCATTCGACTTGCATACCGTTTGGGCAATATCAATCACTGAAGTATTAATGAACCTCGATAATGGAGATCACTGAAGTATTAATGAACCTCGATAATGGAGAAATCAGTGTGTCAGAAGAAATAATTGATTTTCTTCTTAAAAAAAATATTGTAAGTTTTTCACAGTGCTATTTTCATTTCGAATAATTCTGAAAAATACTAATTAAATAAAACATAAACTAAAATAGCAAATAAAGAAATTGAAATTGAAGCGGAGGGGGATGTACAAGAATTATTTTTTTCACCTTCAGTCTCTTTACCTTTGGAAAAAGCTAGAAAAAAATAAAAAAATAAACCAAGGATATTGATGATGTGATACCCTTACTTGCAGAAATTCAAAAAAATGCATTAAAGAAAGCACACGAAATTATTAATAAAAAAAGAAAAACAAATAAAGGTAATAAAGATAATGAAGGTGACAATGACGATGATGATGATGACGATGATGACGATGACGATGATGACAACGATGATGATGACAATGATAATAATGATGACAATAAAGATAATAAAGAATAATAAAAACAATATATATATAATAATGTATACAATTATATAGAATATTTTAAAAATTTATGCAATAGAATATTCTGAAAATTTATTAATTATATAGAATATTTTGAACATTTATGTAATAGAATATTCCAAAAATTTATTAAATCAATAAAATTAATAAATAATTAATGTTCAATAATAATATCATTACAATATGCATTTTATTTTCACAATTAACTATTTAATTTTAGAAAAATCTGTAAAATATCAAAATGTTTCGTATGTAAATCTCGAATATACCGTTATAATAATTTCACAAATATCTATGAAAATAAATAGAGATTTATGAAAATATATTTAAAAATTTTCGAAAATAAATGGAGATTTACAAAAATATATGTAAAAATTTTTGAAAATAAATGAAACAAAAAATTCTGAAGATTTATGAAGGTATCATATAACTCCAAAAATTTAATAAGGCAAAAATTTTCAAAATATTTTACCTTTAAAAATTTTCTGATGTAAAAGGTAAGATATTATAGATTACAGAGAAGAATTTTTTAAAAAAATGAAAATTTTGAAAAGTTAATGTCATTTTATAATAGTGAAAATATGAATAAAATTCTATCAATCTTGAATTAAAATGAACAACTTCATATTTTAATTACACATGATGAATATTTATTTTATGTCAATAATGATTAACTAATTGTTTGAGCTCCTATCAGTGAACTTCCTTTATAAAAAAAAAGGACAAGGAAAATTAATAATAGTTAGTGAGTTTTTTTTAGAAATTATTGGTCATTTTAAATTAAATGAAATAGCAATTCAAAATAATTTAACAATTTTATTAAAAGCAAGAAAATTTTTAAAATCAGGAAAAAACAAAAAAAGTTGGTGAACTTCAGATTATCTTCTTAATCAAATTATAAATTATTTAATTACTATTTTTGAAACATTGTATCTCAATGCCATTGCTATTTTTGCTTTTAACAACAGTACCAATTATGGTGCAATACCAAATGATGAATTAAATGTAAATAGAATGAACCTTTTATCTGGAGGAAAAAGACTTTTAATATATGATATTTATTTTGAATCAAACAATACTTACCAAAGTTTAATTTTTTTATTAAATTATTCAATTTATCTTAATAAATCAAAAGGAATTAAACAAATATTAGTAAAATGAGATTTATAGCTAGTAAATAATGAAAAATTCAAGTTTGATTGTAATCTTTGTAAAGGAAGAAATAGAGTAAATGATTTAACACGTACAAATTGTTGTATACGTAGGTTATTATCAATATAATCAGATTTTAAAAAATTGAAAATTAAAATAGCAATTGAAGAAAGAGGTCATAAATATATTTTTTATTTTAAATTTCATTGTGAATTAAACTACATTGAAATATATTGGAAAGTTACTAAAAGATTCATACAAGAACATTGTGATTATATATGGATTGGATTATAAAAAACAATTCTTGAAGCTTTAAATTCTGTACTTTTAATTATGATTAGAAAATTTGTATGAAAATCTCAAAGATATATAGATGTATATTGAAAAGGTTTAACAGGTAAATTGGCAGAATTTGTAGTAAAAAAATATAAATCACATTGAAGAGTACCTGATAATATTTATAATGAATTAAAAGATTTCTTTAAATAGAATAAATAACATTTTATTATTTTTATATATATTTTCAATTTTATTTTATATATTTTTTATATGTAATTCATCTGACTTCAAATGTTAATAGCTTTGTCAAAAATAAATTTTATAAAATTTAAACCAATAATTCTGAAAGAGCAAGTCAATGTCTATTATAATTATTAGATAAAATTTCTATTTTAAGTTTGTGTCACATGCCTTAACCTTTTAAAGTTGGTCTTATTTTAGTGTTAAAATTTTTGATTATAAACTAGATGCACTGTAATTAATCTCACCGATTAACTTACGGATTAGCAATTAACCTTGATCAAATTTTATTTTCAAATTTGTAATTTTTGTAATAAATTAAAAATTGTTATCAAATTTGTATCTAAGCCAATTTCTGGACTCAATTGACTAAATTATATCTAATTAAATTCCTGGCTCAATTCAAATTGCACCTACTATCCTTAAACAATGCCTTCTGTTAATAAAGAAGATCAAATCTTAGGATGTAGTATATTAAACTCCTTAAAAGAACCAATGTAAAGAGCAAAGGGAATGAAAGAAGTCGCACCCTTAACAATACAATTAACACAATTGATACAATTATTTAATGAAATTACATAGGTGCAATTAAAATTTTAATAATTGAGTTAGTTTTTTATTTTTGATGACATGTATAATGTGAACTCTCTTCATTTTCCAGTTGAGACATCAGAGATGAGTTTGTGATCTGAGAGTTCTCTTTTGAGGTACTCGCATTATCTTTTGAGGTCTCCTTGCTACTTATCTGAGACTTGAGCATAACAGATCTTTTCCTTTTTTGTTGTTTGATTCAATGTCTTATGTTAAGTAGAGTCTCTTTATGGTAACATATGAGACCCTTCCGCTATCATCTTCTGAAGGTTGTGCGCGAGATACCATATTTTTTTGTATCTGCACGCGGGTTTGTATTTCATTTGATTGAGATTGACAGCAAGATAGTGACCAGTCTTTTTATATAATGAAATGGAAATTACGTAAATGGAACATTTTTTTACAACTTTCTTGAAGATGTTTTAAGCAAAGTTCACATTTTTCATGCTAAAACTTGAATATTATTTGAGTTTTATGAAAAACTTAATTAATTATTATGGTCAGTATGGATAAAAATAGACCGTTTTTCTTGTAATTTTTTACCGCGAGAAAAGTAACCTGTTTTCATTAAGTGTAAAATAGAACCGTTTGATCTTTTTGGTGTTAAAGTGAATGGTTGCGCGATATAAATTGTCTGTTTTTCTAAAGTCAGTTCTTTTAACGTAAAAGAACTGCTTGAAGTGTGCCATTTGGTTAAATATTTAATATCATTTGTAGTAGATCAATGTTCAAGCATCGCTACATATTATCAAATTATTTTGTAAGAAATGTTATAATAAAATTATTGTTTCCTACCTGGTTCAATTGAATAAAAGATTTCGTTGAAATCTAAGACTAACAATGTTTTTAATGTACTAAAGACGTAATTGTTGCATCAAAAAATGATAATATTGAAAGAAAAAAACCAAATTCACAAACAGAAAAAGAAGAATATGCTAGAATTATTATTAAGATAATAAATATATTTTAATATTTATTCAATCAATAAATTCTTGTTTTATTATAAATAATTAATTGTATCTCTTTTTTGTTGATAAGATAGCAGAATGGAATGTGGATTGATTTATATATTTTAGTATATTTGTATGTAATTATATATGCAATGTTGTTTTTTTTTTTTTTTGTATCATTGGAAAAAATTATACATAATATTTTCTTTCTTTTTGTTGTTGAATGATACTAACAATGACTAAAATACTAAATTTATATAATACTTTTGGGTTAAAAAAAAAATAAAAAAAAATAATATCTAACAAGGACTAAATATAATTGAAATTATGAAAAAAAAAACTAAATCAGAAAAAAAATATATATATAATTTTTAATATAATAGGTTTTTTTAGCAGATCCTCTCGTATTTAAAATAAGTATTCTAGACCCAATTCTAAAAAAAAAAAAAATTGTTTATGTAAAAACTATTATCCCTACCATAACCTATTGCTCCCTTATATATAAATATTTATAAGCGAATTAATATGTGCAAAAAAATGATAAAAAGGTAAAAAAAAAATGGAAAAAAAATGTATACAAAGAAAAATTTAAAGTTCATGTAACCAGCACATTACCAGTATTATTAAAAAATCATTTCAAATTTCAAATCCTCCCCTATCTAATAAACATTTATATATGGCAAATTTAATATCTACCCCTCGGGGGTTTATTATTATTGCGACGGCTATGGCCACGACGTTCTTCGGTGCTAACACTTTCATTACCAACTTTGATTGTTTGAGCATTGAGAGCAGCTTTGTATGATTCTGCATTGTTATATTCGATAAATGCGCATGACTGTAATAAATAAATGAGAACATCAGTAAATAGTTCTATGCATTTATTTAATGAATTGATTGATTAATTAATTAAGAGTGAAATAATTTTAAATGTATTCAAATACTTACTTTAGAGTAAACAACATCAATATGACTAACGTATCCGAATACTTTGAAAGCATTAAGCAAACTTTCACGATTCATTGATTGAGTAATCCCTTTTACATAAATAGAAAGTCCCGTTTCTGTATGTAAAAATATGTAATAAATTAATATTAATACATATAAAATAATAATATTGATATCGAAAATTAAAATATAAAAATAATAAAACAATACATACCGCTATTACGTCGATTATTGCTCCTGTTTCCATCTTGGCGACGATCTTGATGATCTCGATTATCTCTCATATTATGTTGTCGTTGTTGTTGAGAAGTAGACTTTTGTTGTGTTTTCTGAACTGGGGCAGCAACAGATGTCACATGTCCCTTAGTATCTGCTAAAGCATTACTTATTCCCCATTTGTCGTGATCATTTGCTGCCAAATTAGCCCAAGTAACTTGACCTTGTTGTTTTGGTGGTGGTGGTGGTTGTTGAACGTTAGCTTGCTGAGAAGTGGTTAAAGTTTGGGAAACAGGAGTGGTTCCAACTTGATTTGAAACTGTTTGAATTTGTCCATTCTTTTGCGGCGCATCAGAAGATCCTTGAGCATTAATTTCAGGGGTGATGGGTTGACCATTCACATGTTTAGTTGATGGATTTTGATCAGATACATACTTTGTCGGTGGTGATGTAGGTCTTCGAGAATTTTCAACTGGTGAAGTGGATCGTTGACCATGACCATTTACAACCGGAGTGACTGAATTTTGAATGGTGGGACTATTTCTAATAGGAGAACCTTCTCGTTGAGAATTTGCATTTTGTACATTCATGACTTGAGGACTAACATTACGTTGCATTTGATTGGGTTGTCCATTAGGAACGGATGTTGTCGATTTTTGTGCGTAAGTTTGTTGTTTTCCGCTTATTTGCTCATTCGAACCAACATTGGGTGAACGTGGAATTGATGCCGATTGTTTCGCATTTGTTTGTTGTCCATTAGATTGATTGATGATCGATTGAGAATTATCAATGGTTGGTTTCGGAATTCCTTCAGAATTTGTCACGGAAATGTTGGTTGTTGGTGGTCCTTTATTTACAGAAGTAGCTATAGGTTTAGATGACAATAATCGGTCAGGAACGGATGCAGACGTCGATTTGGGGAGTGCCGTTTGAGATGGAACAAATGGAGATGGAACATTGTCAACGGATTTAAATGAAACAACTTGAGAATTGACAACTGATTTAACACTTGTAATAGGAGAAGCGGCTTTAGAGATTTCAGGAGAGGATTTAGGTTGATCCACCTTAGTAACGTTATCGATAGAGATAGAAGCCGCTGATGATTTAGGTTGATCAACCTTTGTAACATTTTCAGATGAGGGTGGTTGAACACTTTCAATTGGTTCCTCTTTACTTTCAATATTAGGAATGATGACTTGGGTTTCATCTTTAACTTTTAGAGTGGATGAAGACACTTCAATTCCATTAACCCCATTTACGGTCACGTCATTAGTTGTATCTGTAGGTGTAGGAATTTGACTGAGATCAACTACTTCGACAATAGTTGTGGATTCTGTTACTGAACGATTATTAATGGGTTCTTCTACAAGCGTACCAGATGGAGAAATTGAATTAACTTCTTCGTCGTTATTCATGGTTTCTTCGATAGTTGAAGGAATTTCTGTTTCAACCTCATCACTTTCTTCATATATATCCTCGTCTTCTTTAAGGAATCGGATAATGTCATTCAAAACAAAATAACCGTTTGGTTGAACGGCAAGGAAGAATGTTTGAGCAAATTTCCTGGAAGATTCTCCTCGGTTGCTCATCTCGCCCAAGACTTGAATAACTATACCTCCATTTTGAGAGGCTTGGCTATCAACATTAGTGACGAGGACACGGCAGTTATCCAAATCAAGTTCTTGGATTTTTTCTTGAATTTCCTATAGTGGTTAAAAAAAAAGAAATTAGTTAGTCAAATTAGTAATTAATATTGTAATGAAGGAAAGTTATTCTGGTAAATATTATATTTAGTGATCAAGAGTTGAAAAGAATTCTATGATAATTCAAATAAACAGAAAGTTATGTGCAATAGCCGCAGTAGCGAAACAATACGAAGGGCTTTTTCCCTCAAGTTATGTAAACAAACTAGTAAAAGAATGCAAAATTCAGAAACAATCAAACGAATACGCGCAGCAAAAAAAATGGATTAACGTTATGTAAAGAAATAATAAATATAACTAGCAACGATTAACGTAAGTAAAGAGAACGTTATTGTGATTGTGTATAGGTTATTAATCTTAAATAAAAAAAAAAAATTTACTACTGACCTTTTCTCCCTGACAAGGTTTGACTTGTTCCCCCTCATAACCATGGATGAGAGTGGACTTCCCCCCATAAAAACAATGAAGGCGACTTGGTTCTTTATTTAGAAATGTGTAATATTCATGAACAAAGAGCCAGCCAACCTCTGAAGTGTTGACTTTTTGACCTGCTGAAGGTCCACCACCCGCGACAGTTGTGGTTTGTGTATTTGTGTTAATAGGGGCTGTTGCCGTCGCGGCCATAATTATGATATAGAAATTTGATTGAAAGGAAATGGGAAGGTTCGGATTAATTTCAAACGTAAAAAAAAAAAAAAAAACCTAATACTTTATATAAAGTAAAAGATGTTGAAGAGTAAAAAATTAGCTGCTTGTGGCTTTTTTATACTACACGCATCAGGTATCTGATAAGGGGACCCAAAATTTCGTCAAAAAGTTTAGTGATCGGCGATGTATATAAGATCTGAGCCCGCAGTTTAAAGAATGATATGCCATGCGGGTTAATTAATACAACAATTTTTTTCAATCCGCCCGTGATGATTTAATTCTTAAATACATAAACAAAATGCTCAAATGCTAAATCGTAAAGGATCTTACTCTAAATAGGCAAATGAATCTTGGTAAAGTTTTACTGATTTCAATTTTCGATTGTTTACAAAATTAGAAATCTTTTTGGCGTTACTATTTGGTAAAAATTAATCATTAATTTTTTAAATTTCAATTCAATATTTTTTTTTGTTAAAAGTCAATTATCAAACAGGAAAATTTAATTAATAAACTTGATATTGAAAAACCAAAGAGATTATAAAATTATATTGAGAAAATATTAATAAATTTATTTTATACAAAATTATATTATATATATTTTTTGTATAATTTTCTCAGCTTTCATATTTTAAAAAAAATGTTATATAATTACTTTCCTTTCTAAGACTTAACAAAAAAAAAAAAAAAAAATCAATTAATCCAAAAGCATCCACATATTTTATTGGCAAAAAAAAAAAAAATTCTATTGATTCCTTTTTGGTATGATCAATTCAATTGCACATAAATGATGTAGATTTTCTTTATTACTAATTATTCAAGTAATAAACATAAACAACAATATATAGTATATTTTTCAATATCTTTGGCATCTTCCCGAAGGAGTCAAGAATTCGAACCATTTTGGCACCATGCTCAAAGGCTTCCAGAGATCTCGTTAGATCAACATATATGTCACCCTTGTTCAATTTCTCTTGATGCGATCCTGTCTTAATCTCTGATGACAACATAATAACTTAAGTGGTAGACGTGAAATAAATTTTCTTGAGTTTTACAACTACAGATCTATCATTTGAATCCCCATCTCTGGTTGAGTACGTTTTTCCACATTCTAATAGAGATAACGTTCATTATAGAGAAGATCTGCTGTTTCGAGACCAAGTCTAGAACGAAAAGCGTGGAGAAGGATGAAATGAAGAATTTATGTAAGATCTTGAAAGATAACTTATGAGTTTGAAAGAAAGAATAGAACTTGGCATCATATAAATTATATGAAATCACATGATTCACATCATGAACTGTTGGGTTTTCATTTTTTTTCCCTTGTAAACATTAAAACATTAAGCAGTAAGGAAAATAATTTCACAAATTTTGGCTGTATTATATGGCTTAATATTCCCACGATTATGTGTTGTGGTGTGCTTGCTTAAAGGTTTCAAAAAACATGATTAGGTAACAAGATTTCAGATATTAATTTCTGAAAACAAATCTTTCAATACTAAATATATCAAAGAAAAAAGAAAAAAAAAAACAATTACAATTGTTACAAGGTCAGATATTTTTCTATACTAAAATTGTTACATATTGTTACATAATGACATAATACGATATATTTGATAGCTTTTAATGAATTTATTTGTTTTGAATTATAGGTAGATAAATAATAATAATAATAATGTAGATAAATAATTATTATGAAGAATATAAAGTTGGTATCAACTTTTCGATAAAATTAATTAACCTATTAAAAATTTAATTTATATGGAATTTCTTTATTTTATTTTTTTTTTTAATATTCTCTGATGTTTCATTTTATACTTAAAGTCAATATATTTTAATAATAAAAATAGATATATATTTTTTTTTTAATTGGCCTAACCCATATAAATTTTGATATAAAGGAAGAGTCATTTATTCCATTATGTACAACCCACTGAATTAAATGAATTAAAAAGTCAAAATAAAATTATTTATTCGATAAAATTTTACGATGAAATTTTACGAGGAAATGATTAACTTCATGTGATTATTTATGTCGTACTAATTTATACAGTGTAACTGAAGGATAAAATATCCATCTTTTTTATATAATTATGTATAACAACTCCAATTAAAATGTTCGTAATACTTAGGGAAAGCATAAACTTGTGCAAATATTTAATTATTTATTATAATACAACGGTTGGTTCTATCTTTAAAGGTGAAAAATTTAAATATAAAGAGTTGTTATTATATAGAGCGAGACTAAAAAGTTATTATTTCTCACCAAAAAGTTAGTGATCGCTTTAAACCAAAAAAAAAAAAAAATAACAACACGCTCACTCCTTTTCTTCTATCATTGATCTTTATAAGTACTTGAAAAGAATTCTTTGAATTCTTTACTTTCATTTAATACCCATTAATATTATAATATAAACATCTGTCATGCAAATCTTTAATAAACTAAAACAACCAAATGGTCCTATGTTTCCTTGGTCACAACGAAAATTAAACATAAACCAAAATGTTTTTCCAAGATACGGTCATAGTATAAATCAACAGGCCATTGGTAACGAATTATTCCTTTTTGGTGGTATCGTTCGAGGTCATCCAAGAAACGACTTATTTGCTGTGGATATTAGTAAGTTATTAATTATTTTGACTAATGGTGGAAAAAAATTGGAAGCGTATGAAATTTTTTTTTTTTATATTTTCAGTTAAACTGTAGGATAAAATATTTTTAATATAAAATATATTAATTTGCTTTTAATTTTTGATACGAAAACTTATAATAGATACACTTAATGTTCTCCCATATATGACAACTGGAGAAATTCCTTCCCCACGTAGTTTTCATACACATGTCAATATAGGGAAATATCTATTGGGTAAGTTTAAGGATATTTAATAAGTTTTATATTAATCAATTAAATATAATTATACTCGATTTTATGATAAAATTAAAATTAGATATTTCTCGATTAATTAGTTTTCGGTGGATTAACTGAAGAACAAGTTGATGATAATCTTTATATTCTTGATACTGGTAAATTTATATTTATTTATTTTATTTTTAATTTTTTTTGATGATTTTTTTATGAATTATAATATGAATTTTATTTTATTTTATTTTTAATAGTATCAAATAATTGGAGTAAATATTTATTAAACGGCAATATGGGACGTTATGGACATACATCTTCAGTAATCGGGAATAAAATGATTATTTTTGGTGGACGAAGGAATGACCAATATTTGAATGATTTAGTTATATTCGATGTAAAATCAAGTATGATATTGAATTCATTATCATCATTAATTAATTAATTAATAATAATAATAATAATAATAATAATAATAATAATAATATTATTATTATTATTCTCAAAAAAAAAAAAAAAAAGAATTTGTAAATGATAAAATTTCTATCTTTTAATTTTTTTTTAATATCAGTTAGTTCTTCAGGTGCTAGGTGGGAACCTATTATTCCTTTAAATGAACCTCCACCTCCAAGAACAGGACATATTGCTTGTGCTTGGAATGAAAAAATTATTATGTATGTATCAAATATATAAATATATTATAATTTTTTTCAAATGATTGATTTATTTAAAAATTATAATTATTATTATATTATTAAATAGTTTTGGTGGTTATGATGGTGATAAATTTTATAATGATACATGGTGTTACGATTTCCTAAATAATACCTGGACCGAATTACAATGTACAGGTTACATACCTGCTCCTCGGCATAGTCATTGTACAACTATTGTTGAAGATGTTGTATATATTTTTGGTGGTATTGGTAATGAAGGACAAGAAGTAGGAGATTTAGCTGCCTTTGGTTTAATTAGTAAGTAATTTATTTATTTCCTTTTTTAATTACAATTTTATAAATTGTCATAACTAATCAAATTGATGATAGTACTAACTTTAAAATGAAACAACGAATAATTATTCAGATCTAAGATGGTTTATGTTTCAGAAAATGGGTCCTTCACCAAATCCTCGATTTTGTCATACTATGTCGGCAATACGTGATAAGATTTTAGTATTAGGTGGTGAATGTTCACTTACTATTAAACCCGATGAAGATGGAATAATTCACATATTGGATACCTGTACGTTTATTCTTTTTTTTTTTTTAAAAAAAAAATTTATTATCGATATCAAATTTATTATATCAATTTATAATTTATTTTGTATTATTATTTATTCTTCTTTTTATTCTTATTATAGCAAAAATAAAATATCCACCACAAAATCAAACTTCTGGAAGGCCACCTCAACAATCTCCACAAAACCAACAGATATCACCTCAACAATCCCCACAAAACCAACAGATATCACCTCAACAATCTTTACAAAAACAACAGATATCACCAAGATCAATACCTCAAAATAGTAACGGTTACACCCAACAAAATCAAAATATCAATTATAATCGACAACCTGCATCTCCTACAAATCAATACAATAATTTACGTAATATGTCATCCCCTACCAATAAGCAAGTCCCGTCAAAACCAAACGGGAAAATTACATATGATGACGATGGATTTTATCGTCGTCAACCAACTTACGCGCCTGATGGTGTTTTAGGTTCACCAAGAGTTATTCAAGAAAATTTGATGAATAATCAAATGCAACCACAAAGGACAATGTCAGATAATTCAACTCCATCACCTCGTATGACGCCTGATTCTATTGGTCCTTCTTCACAATCTCCTCGGTTTGCTCCTCAAAGTTCATCACCTATGGGAATGAGTAATAATACTCAGGCACAAGTAAATCAACGCGGACAAAATTATCCGAAACGTCCACAAATTGACCGATCGGGTTTACCTCAAAGAATGACATCGGATAATGATATAAATAATATGCATTCAAAAAATATGATTCGTGATAATACTCAAGATCATTTTAGATATATGGATAATTCGGTATCAGAAAATATGAGAGGAAATACTCCCGAACAATTGCGATATATGGAAAGAGATATTACAGATTCACCTCAACCACTTTCGCCTGCTCAAGTATCTCCTAGTTTAGAAAATCTTCGTAAAGAAAATCCGTCCCCAACTCATCCCGTGCAACCATTTCGTGATGGAGGGGATACTCGAGCACGTACTGCGGGGAAGTTTGAAAAGATTTCTACAATGCAAATACAAGTGCTTCCGAATAATGGACCTACTAAAAATTTCTCAAATCCCAGGCAAGCTCCAAGACCTCCTGGTACTACCAACGCTTCACCAATAAATCAAGATATTATGCAAGATTATAATAATAGAAACAATAGTAATAATAGTAGTAGTAGTAATAATAATATTATTAATAATAATTATAATAATAATAATAATAATAATAATAATAATAATAATAATAATGATAATAATAATAATTATAATAATGTTAATAATAATAATTATAATATTAGTAATGATAATAATATGAATGTTCTACAAGACACTACAGATCAAGTTCCTTCTAGTTCTTCTATAATATACGGAAATGATTCAATTTTGTCTCAACAGTCTACGAGTCCCACTAGTTTTACCGCAGAGTCATTTGACACTATCGATCATTTTCCGACTCCAATGTCAAATGTTGAAAGAGATAATTTCATGCGTGAACTTCAACAACGTGACAATCAAATTTTTGCGTTTAGGAAACGTGAAACGTGGTTAAAAGCTGAATTATCTTTAGCTCGACAAGAGGGTTATACTCCTGAGGCCGATCGATCAAGTGGCGTACCAGAAGGTTTGGATGTAGAAAAATTTATGGATATTGGTGAATCTGGTTCCGATAGGCATAAGGTTATGTTGGCTGTTGTTAGATTAAAACAGGAATTGCGAAGAACGAAGGTAATAAATGAATTTTCTATTTTTTTTTTGAAAATTCGGAAACGAAATAATGATTTATTAACTCCTTTTTTTTTTCTTATTTAGGCTACAATCGCAAATCAAGCTCAAGCTGCTTCTCAAAAAATCACAGATGCGGAACGTGCACGAACCGCAGCCCTTCAAGAAGCTGCATATTTTAAAGCCAAGTTAACAGCTTTAGCGAATGCTTCAGATGTAGAACTTGCGAATATCGAAGTTGAACGTGCAGCAGACTTGGAAAAGCGTCTAACCCAAGCACTTACTGAAAAAGAGTCATTACAATCAAAATTAATACAATATCAACAATCGTCAACTTATGATAAGAGTGCTCGGGAATCTGCTGAAGAAAGATCTAAAACTGCCACCGCACGAGCTGAAGAAGCCGAAGAAGCTCACGCACGAGCTTTAGCTGAATTGGCCACATTACATTCGCGTGCAACTACTGCCGAATCTCAATTAAGGGAGAATAATTCTAAAATAACAGAACTTATGACCGAACTTAATCAGTATAGGTCAGAATCAGAAAGTACACAAAATCAATTCATACAACTTAGACAATCATTGGAACAACATAAACGAGCATTAGAAAAAGCAAATCATGCTCTCATGGCTGCTAATGAACGAACAGTTGAAGCGGAATCATTATGGCAAGAAGCTCGTCAAGATGTAGCTGCCTTAGAAAAAGAGGCTGGAGGTTTGCGTGCTGAATTAGATGTTAAGATGCGAGATCTTGAACGTGCTCAATCTAGAGCTAAAGAATTAGAAAGATTATTGAATAAAGCTCAAAAGGAAGCAGATAGTGTACGTGCTATGATGCAAGAAGGGATGACGGAACTTTTGAGTACTTCTCGTAATAATGAAGGATTTTCATCTGAAACTGCAAAGAAAATTACTCAACTTGAACAAGAAATTGGAACTTTAAAAAATTCTAAAGCAGATAGTCAAAAAGTTGCTCAAGATGCCTCTAGCTCACTTGCTGATGCAATGATTAAAATTTCACAAATGGAAGGGGCAGCTATGAAAGCTCGTTCAGATGCCGCGGCACTTCAACGACGATTAAATGAAGCTTCTGAGGATACCGCTAGAACTAAAGAGAGATTACGTGAAAAAGAACGTTTGTTAGAAGAAAAAATACGTGCTCTTGAAGATGCAGAAGTTAAAGTTGGTATGATGCGAGATGTAATGACAGAGAAAGGAATATTGGATGATGGTAATAATAATAGTGTCTCATACGAAAATTTTAAAATACATCTTAATAAGATTGATTCTATGGATAGTAAAAAAAATGATTTAAATAATAATAATAATAATGATGTTGGATCTGTTGGATCTGGGAACATAACACCAGATATTACTATTAGCCCTGACTTTGATGGAGATTTGAAAGTAGCAAAACTTAAAGCCATAGAATATCAATCGGAACTTAATGAAACTAAAGAAAGATTACATCAAGTTGAAACGGATTACCAAACTGCATTACATTACGTTAAGGGTACCGAAAAAATGTTAAGACGAATGAAGGAAGAATTGACCAAGAGTAAAAAAGAAGTAATTAAGCTTACAGAGAAATTGAATGAAGCAACCAAACACAATGAAGAATTAGAAGAAAAAATAGCAGAAATTGAAAATAAAAATTCATTTAATAATATTCATAAAGGAGTTCGAGAATCTCAACTTCAAGGGTTAGAACAACAACGTAAGGAATTTGAACAAGAAAAGGAATTATCAAATGAACGGATAAACAAATTGCAAGGACTTTTAGATAATGCACAAGAGGAGAAAACCATGATGGATCAAGAGTATGAAGTTTTACGTAAAGAATATGAAGCATTACGAAAAGAAAGTGATGCATTAAGAAAACTAGATGGACAATTAAAAGAAAAATTACAAAATTCCGAGGAAGCATTGAATAATACACGAGCAGAATTAGATCAGTTACATTCACTACAAAATAAAGGGAATCAAGGAATAGGAGGAGAAGATAATAGAGGAGAGGATAATAAAGGAGAAATAATAGATTACCAGAAATGGCAAGAACAAAAAGCAGTACTTGAAAAAGAATTAGCGGAATTTCGAGTAGTGAATGATAAATTAGAGAAGGAGAATTCAGAATTAGAACAAAAATGTCGAGAATCTGAAAATAAAATAACAATTTTATTGGATCAAATGGAACACGCAGTAGATACATATCGTGAAATAGAGGATGATATAAGAGAATCAAGTCCACGTAATTCTAATGTTATTAGTTCATTAGCTAGTGAGTTAGATATGCTTAAATCTCAATGGGATGCACATCGAGATCAAAATACAAATGAAGAAGAACTCGTTGAACCGAGATGGAGTAGATTACCAAGTGAACAAAAAGATGAAGTACGAGTACCATCTAGATTAGAGGAATATGATGAAATGATGGCAGCATTAGATGAAGTTCAAAAAGTAGCAGCACAAAGGAAAATTGGACAATTTGAATCTGTTGAAAATATAAATAATAATATGACATTAAAAAGCATTTCTTAACTTTATTAAAAAATTTAAGATAATAAAAGATAACAAATATAAAATAGATTATATTATTGTTTTTTTAAAAAAAAAAAAAAAACACGGAATAAAAATACCCGCTGGAATTCGGGTTCAAATAATTTTTTTTTAAAACTTTAATTTTTCAAATTTTTCATTTTTTTAATAAATTTTTTTTTTTTTTTTAACATAGACTATATAAAAATTATAACATTTTTTTATTACTTATTATTTATTCCTCACCAAAATTATTATAATCACATTTATATGATTTATATTATTTTATATATATTTAGTTTATATTATTTTTTATTAGAGTTGTGAAATTATAAAAATTATAAAACTTTTAGTGATATATTATTCTCTTTATAATAATAACATTATGAAATATATATATATATTAAATTTCAAACTATAATGATTTTTTTTAAAGTATTTTTTCATATCAAAAAAAAAAAAAATTTATTTTTGTTTACAAAAAATTACTTTTTGATGCACAATTAACAAATTTGATTATGGGAAAAGAAAAAAAAATGAAATCTATAATACAAAGTGAGTACAAAATGAATACAAAAATTAAGTACAAAAATGAGTACAAATACAAAATGAAATACAAAAATCAAATAATAATAAAATCAAATAAAATAAATAGATAAAATGTTATTCTTTAATTTTGAATCTTGTCTCTGTGTGTATCTTTCTTATCACTAGATTTCCATTTAGAATCAGAATTATGATTGTGATGATTATGATTGTGATTATTATGATTGTGATTATCATTATGACTATGATTATTATGATTATGATTGTGATTGAGATTACTATTAACAACTAATTTTCCAGTTTTTAACCATCCTTCATAAGCTTGATATCTACTTTTAGGAGCACCACCTTGACTTGAACCAACTGCTTGCATCATCGCATATTTTTTTGGTATATCTAAACAATCGTCATATATTTTTTCATCAGATTGAATAACTTTCATACTGGTTATAGGATTTGGTAAATTCGCTCTACGTACAAATCTTGCATAAGTATTATAATCCGTGTGACGGGTAAGTGAAGGATCATCATCTCCTGTGGGTGTTGATGTTAGAACTAAATCTTTGTTTTGATTTACATATCTAGAAAAAAAAATAATAATTAATATATTAATAAATATTAATTTTAAATAATTTATATATATATGAATAAATATTAATTTGAATAATATAAAATATGTAAATAGTATTTACTGATTATATTCTTCTTCTTCATGAGGAGAAACTACAGGATTTAAACTTTCCGAGACAAAAGCTTCCATTACTTTAGTTGAATCTTTTTCTTTTTTTGGTTTTTCTTCTTTTTTCTCTATCACTTTAGTTCCAACTTGAGTTTCTTTTGGTTTATTATTGGGTAATGCAAGAAATTTTTTAACTCCGCCAATATTCATTAATCTAAATAAACATTTTAAATAAATAAATTAAATAAATTAAATAAATTAAAAATAATATATTATAAAATTAAACATTTACCTGGTAGCTTGTGGATGTGTTACTCTAACAGTAAATGGACTATAATCGTAAGTTTCAAGATTTACACTAATAAATAAATAAATAATAATAAATTAACAAATAAATAAATAAATTAATTAATTAATTAATTAATAAATAAATAAATAAATAAATAAATGATAATAATAATAAAAAATAAAAATAAAAAAAATAATAATAATAAATAGTAATAATAATAATAATAATAATAATAATAATAAATACTAATAATAAATAATAATAATCATCATCATTAATACCTTGCAGGAATATATTTAGTAGTACTATTCATATTAAACGCAAACAATTTTTCAAAAGACGTGAAAAGTGGTGGACGATAATATTCTATCCAATATCCAGAAAATGGATCACATTCATCATCATCGAATTGACGAGCTAAACGAGGGACAAGTCGATATCTTGCAATATCTTGTTCTTGATCCTCTTTTGGTAATAATGCTTCTTTCGTCCACCAATGAATATAACTAATAAAAAATGAGTGAATAAAAAGAATAAAAGAAGAAATTGAATAAAAAAAATAAAAAAGAGATATATATTACCTCCTTCGTGGTCTTCTAAAACGGGGATCATCATTATGCAAATAATAATCATTCGTTAATTCCCATAAATGTGGGCGATCTTTTTGAGGTACAAAATTACCAAGAAAAAGATTGATTGCACCTTGTTTTTCAGCATCTAATATTTTAAATTTAATAAAATTATAACAATATTTAACAAAATTCTAACAATATTTTAACAATATTCAACAAAATTCTAACAATATTTTAACAATATTCAACAATATTATTATAAATACCCGCAAATGCATTATTATAAAATCTCCTTATATTCTCTATTAAATCACGTGAATGACTTGTCCATTGATTAATTTTACGATATGAATCAATTGTATTAACTAAATTTGATCCACCATATTGGAATGCTATTGTATCCCCGTGATCATGATACATGTCTGTTAACATATTGACGACATCTGAATCAACCGGCACCCATGGTTTATCTATAATTCCTAATGCATAAAGCTAATAATAATAATAATAATAATAATAATAATAATAATAATAATAAATCAATCAATCCAAATAAATAATGAATTTCAAAATAATTTACCATATTAATATATAAATACCTGATGACCCAATGCACATTTTCCTATAATTAATTGAGCTGCATTTGTACGATCCAAACAATCAATGCAATTTGTCCGAACTACTCCGTTTTGCCGAAGTGACATACGTCGAGTTTGAGGTTTACCTAGACTTTATTAATTTTAGATACTATTCGTTATTATAAAATATTATGAATTATTAAATATTATAATATAATTAACATACGTTTCTTCTCTTTTTAACACATTAATAAAAGCTTCGGGTCCACTATGAAAGAATCCTGTATCTGCTAAATACTCTTCAGCAAATCCTTCCATTAATTCCATAACATCATCATCGCTTTTTATTATTATTATTATTATTATTATTATTAAATAAAATTATTAATATTATGAATTAAAGAAAAATATGATTATTATCATTATTATAAAATTATTTTAATTTTTACCTTTTCCTAGCTTTAGACATATCCCACGCTTGATATTTGAGACTATCTTTTGGTAAAAATTGGTTTAAATAATTATTGGTTTCTGTGAATTCGTCACCTAAAATAGATTCTCGTTTATTTTTTTCTTTTGTCTTTTATCAATAAATTTTATAAGAAATTAAGAAATTAAAAAATTTATGCAATTAAGGTTAATTAAATATGTAAATATAAATAAATATATATATATATTTATGATTAATTAAGGTTTATATAATATAATAAGATACCTTGATAAGATTTAATACAATTATAGGTGCTCCATAACGTTTAAACATATTATCGTAATGTAATGCAGCCGCCGCATAAAATGGATCCAGAAAGTCGACTAAAATATATTTAAATTGAGATTAAATTAAGATAAACTTGAGATAAATTTAAGATTAAATTGAATAACATACTTGATATGGGTGGCTTTGGTGCCATATTAGTAACATCTTGAGACCAAAAAAGAGGAATAGAACCACGATGTTGTACGTATGATGTATAATGTGGATTATCATAAAGTCCAAATCGATGAAATGATGTTACACTCATTTCTGATACTATTTGTTCTGTTTCCACATCGTTTGCTACATAACCCTAGAAATTTGATTTTTATTTAAAATATGAATATAAATATGAATATAATAAATCAATATGAAATATAAATATAAATATAAGTATATATAAATATATCAAGAATTTACTTGATCATTAACTCCTCGCTTTAAAAAACGCGCACCAGCAAAATAACGAGATCTTCGAGCAATTAATGTTACAAAGATATTCCTTCCAAATATTGAAATTTCTATTATTTTTATTATAAAAATAATAATATCATTCAATATTTTTGATTATTGCTAAAAATATATATAGTGAACCCTCTATAAGGTGCATCCCTCTATAAATGCACCCTATACTCCAGTCCCATCTACTAATAACACTTATAAAATTTCCCTCTATAAATGCACCCTAATTCTGATTCCCCGGGGAGTGCATTTATAGAGATTTCACTGCGTGTATATATATATATATAATAATTTACTTACTCGATTGATCTACAAACCCATGTATTATAGGTAAAATCCAATCTGAATTGTTTTTTAAACTTCGAAATCCATTTTCCAGTAAATAATGATTCCAAACGAACATTTCATTATATGAAAAATTTCTGCGATTGGGAGGTCGTGTCATATTATGTTGAAGCGTATGAGTAATGTCATATGTATAACTAAAATAAAAATTCTTTGTCAAGTCGACATTATTAAAATTATTTATGTATCTAAAAGTTGTAAATGTTGTAAAGTTGTTAGAGATATAATAAATAATAATTTTTTATTGTTAAATATTCAAAAATAATGAAATTAAATTTACTTGTTTTCATCTGAATTCTTTTCTGGTTTAGTTTGAGGTCCAATTGGTCGTAAGATAGTTTCATCAATATGATATATATAGTGACCACCAATTAAAGCAACCGCACTTCTTTTGGTAATCAAAGAGATATAATATCCTTCCGTAAATCGAATAAATCCTAAGAATATTCTTGACGTTATTATTCAATTTATTACTTAACAAAAATTTCTCCATTAAATAAATATATATATATATATATATAAAATACCATAAATTATATAAATTGTTTATTTACCTACAATACCAAAAGCAGTTATGATAGTTTTTAATCCTCCGGATAATCGATTTCCTTCCTCAAGAATTGTTAAAATATCATTGATTTCTTGTTTCGAATATATTACATCATCTTCAATCACATTAAGTTCTGTAGGTGTGGTTCGATCAATCTTTAGAATCCTAAACCGATTATCACTTTGGTTGGATCCAACTATATAATAATTCTATATTTAATTATTAAATTAAATTAATTAATTAGAATGTTAAATAATTAAATTAATTAATTAAAAATAATTATAATAAAAAAATTATGATAAAAAATTATGATAAAAAGATTAGATAATAAATACATACTGTTTTAGTTTCATATAATATAAATTTATTTAAAACTAAACGATCGGGTTTACGATCCTCTAGATCCACCTCTTCCATTGCGGGAGGTGCAGATAAACGATTTGCAGGTGGGTTTACAAATTCTTGAGTTATACCGTCCTGTACCATTGAATAACGTTGAATTGTAACGGTTTCATCGGTTGCGTCAGTTGTAACGGGTGTGTCAGTTGCAACAGTTGTAACTGAAGACATTGTTTTTTAATAAATAATAATAATAATAATAAATAAATAAATTTCTTTATCAAGAAAACTTAGAATTGATAACAGAAATAGGCAAATTTCTAGAAGAACCAGAAGAATTGTTTGTTGTTTATAATCTTTTTCTAGAAGTGTTTGCAAAAATCAAAATAACAATGTCGATACTTCCACGACCAAATTGTATTTTAATTGCTGGTAACATTATTTTTTATATATTTTACTTTTATTACTTTATTAAAATTCTAAAGATATTATAATTATTACTTTTTATAGCTGCATGCAATAATTGGGGTATTGGCCTTAATAATGAATTACCATGGAAATTAAAACGAGATTTAGCATATTTCGAAAGAGTTACTAAACGAGTTTTAGTAGATGATAATAATAATAATAATAATAATAAAGATAATAAAGATAAAAATGATAATAATGAAATTCGGAATGCAGTAATTATGGGACGATTAACTTGGGAATCTATTCCAGAAAAATATCAACCTTTGAAAAATAGATTAAATATTATAATTTCGAGTCGTATGAAAAGTGATGATGATAGTAATAAAGGAGGATATTTAATTTATCCTTCACTAGAAAAAGCTATTCAAGATTTAGAAATTGATTTACAAATATTTCGAATATTTATAATTGGTGGATCTAAACTTTATGAAGAAGCAATTAATTCAACTTCATGTAAATATATTCTTTTAACCAAAATTTATAAAGAATTTAAGTGTGATCGATTTTTTCCTCAGATTGATGAAAATGTTTATAGTTTAGTTGATCATTTAGAATTAGAGAAATTTGTGGGAGAAACTGTTCCTCAAGGTAAACAGTTAGATAGTGATATAGAATATGAATTCTTGATGTATAAAAGAATTAAATAATATCACATATAATTTGATTCATATAACAATACATTTTTGATCTATAATATTACATATACTAGAGTTCAATATAAGAATATATCCAAATATAAAAAAATTGAGTTTATGATTTATTTTTTTTTTTTTTTTTGCTATTATTAATAAAAAAAAATCTTCCAAAAATGATAATAAATAAATAATAATCAAATACCAATCTTTTTTTTTTTTACTCATATCGCGATGGAGTTACGAAATAGGAAAACATTAGGTTATCTTGTCTATCTCATCAAGTAATATTTGAACATTACGTGAATATTGATCTTTTTTATCTCCTTTGGGATATTTACACAAGTGTTTAGGCCAAACGATGTCTTCTAACATATTTGAAACGTCGTCTTCATTGTTATTATTGTTATTTTTAATATTATTGATTATCATTGCACAATTTTCATCTAAACCTCGGAGTATCAGCCATGCATTATTGGAGTTTCGATATGTTAATTCTTTAAATAATTCTATTGCGGAATTTTGATGATCTTCATGAATTTCTTTACTTAAAAACGGATACATTGTATTTATAATTTCTGAAAGTATTTGATTCGATAATGATACGCGATGAATTACTACTTTCATTGTTTCTAATATGGATTTCTTTATTAAATGCGATTGTGAAAATTCATAATTTAAAAATTCTTGATCTCTAATTACTTGTTGTGAAAGTAATTCTTGAAATGTTGGCCACATATTATCAACTACTCGACTGGCAAAAAAATCACCACATGTACTTGCAATTGATTGAATGAGTCGTGTTGCACCGAGGATAACTATCTGTTCTTTATCCTTTAATCTGTTAACTATAAATGGCCATATTCTATGAATCAATGGATAAAGCTCATGTGTAATTGACTGTAAAACAGGTAAAGAAAGTCGCATCATGTCCAAAATCAGTATACGTATCCGTGGTGATGATGAACTAAGAAAAGGAAGCACTTTGTCGATGATTTTAAGACAAGTTGATTGTAATTGTGTTGGCTTTGGTTTTTTATCTGATGTATTTTCATCTCCTTCATCTTCTTCATCTTCTCCTTTTTCATTTTTGATAATATCTTCAATATTATCTAGCTCACCTTGTGGCTCTTGTGACTCCGATTTTTCTTTGGATCTATGATGTTCTAAAAAATACTGCTCTATTTCCTCTAATGTTGCACGTTTTTCTTGTACATTGGTTCTGGTTTTCTTTAAGGAAAAATTCTCTATAAATTCCGTAATTTCTTCAGATAATCTTGTATTAAGATTTTTGGTTGAAGATACATTGTTATTATTGTTCTCAATATATTTATCTTTATTTATATTAATTTGTTCTCTTTCACAAGAATCTGAAATAATTCGAACAACTGAATATAAAACCAAAGCTAATGAACTCAATAAATAAGAATTCATATGATGATAATCTAAAGCATCAAAAATTTCCTCTATTGAGTCATCTAAATAAGGAAGTACTGGTGGTCCAACTATCATTATCATCGCTGTGAGCATTAGAGGAGTTTGAGGATTTAAATGTATATTATTTAATTTTCTGGAAGCAACATTGATAAGATAATCAATATTTTCAAGTATTAACGCTTTTTTGGAAGAATAACCACACCAAACAGAAATATGATATAATGTGATATCAGCAGTATTATGTATTCGACTATTAATTTGTCCCACTTTTTCAAGTATTGGATAAAGAGATTCATTAAGTTCTGTTCTAAATTCCATTGCCATTATACGAGATATATATGCAATTCCTTCAAGAATTAAACAATTACTTAAAATGGAACGATTTTGAGATTCAATGTTCATATTTTGTAATGATTCATCAACAAATTCAACAATTTGATGTTTATTTGATTTAATTAACGATTTTTCTTTTGACTTCTTTAATGTTCGCGGCATTAATTCAATCTCTATATATTCTTTTAATACATATTTTGAAATTCTTTTAACTTCTTGTATGGTATTAGTTGGAACCATTTTAACTAAATTTAAATCTGAATTAATGTCTATTCCAGATGCTCCAAGCAAGATTTCATTTATTATAAATATACATTGTGCATGAAATCTTTCAGAATCTGGATTTCTTACGTAGGTGAGAAAATGATCAATTAAAAATTCAATATTTCCAAAATATCCCAATAATCGAAACATTGTTAATATTGTAGATATTACACGTTGTTCACGTATATGTTTAAATTGAGGTCGTGAAAACTTTTGTAATTGTAAATTTTCATTCTCTTCTGTAAGATTTTCATATTGTCCAATGAGCAATCTATCTTCTATAATATGAATATTTTCAATGTAGAATTCCAAAGAATTTAATAATCCATCGGAAACCCTTTCCAATAAATTATTTAAAACAGTTTGTACTTCTGATCCCAACAAATAAACAAAACCAACTATTAATGATAAAGCATTATATTTTGCGTTTTCATCAAGACCGACCAAGTACCTCGGTAAAGAAGTCAACCATGTATTTAAATTTTCCTTTAAGATTGGTATTAGAATCTCATCAAAATTTGAATTTTCACGTATTACTTCTAAATGTTCTCTACAGAGATTAGATACTTGTTCATTATCATCATTCAAATAGAATACTAATGTTTCAATCAATATTGATGTACAAGTATCTAGAGAATTGGTACAATAAAAAAGTAATTTAAAAGAAAATTTTACAAATTCCAGCCGAAGCTGCCACGAAGGATGATTACGAATAGTAAAAATACTTCCAATTAAAATTTTAATTTGTGCTTTTGTCGCTTTAAGCCATGATTTAGTCCTTTCCACATGAATAGATCCGGGTGATTGTGATTGAGAAGTATTACTTGAAGTATTATTTGTCTTAAATGATGGATCATGATTACGAGAACTTTCTGAATTTATCCAAACTTCCTTCAAATCGAATAAAGAATTAGTCTTAGAAAATAAATTTTTATTTATTTCATCATTCATGACAGAATAAATAATATTCATTAAAGCTTCTACTATTTTCACTGACAAAAGGTGATTTTCTTTTTGATCTCTGATTATAACTTTACTTAATGTACTTAAAATTCCAGGTAAAAAAGCCGCCACAATTCCAGGATTTTCAATACATTTAATTAATTGTTGTAATGTTTCAATCGTCGTTAACCTCAATTGAAGATAACGTTCAGTGGAAATTATTTCAATTAATACATATACACAACGACCTACCACCGCTCTTAAATGTATTTCCTGAATTTCAATTAATAACAATTCATTACGAATTGGTAATTGAAAATTATCGGAATTTGTTATATCGTTATAATTTTCCGATTTTTTTGGTAATAATTCCAAAATACATTTAACTCCTGCAAGTTTGGTTTCCTCTGAAATAGAGAATTCAGGGATATTCTGATTTTCTTTTGTTTTAGGTGAAACTGATGATCCACCACCTATTATTCTTACAAGTAAAACTAATAATTGTTTGAATTGTTCTGGCATCATATAATTATGCCAGCTAGTGGATAACAGAAATTGAATACAATTCAAAAATTCTTCAAGAAATCTATCACTATTTTGTAATGAGGAATAAAGTTTTAACAATGGAACAAGAATATATTGAATCAAATTATAATCAAGGACTACGGAAACGTCTGGGATTGATTTTAGAGTTAAATACAATTTGTTGGTGGTTTGAATAATTTCCTGAACTTTTTCTTTTGAGATAGTGACTGATTTCAGAAGTGAGACACATAAAGGTTTTAACTAATAAGTATCACCAAAGATTAAATCGATATTATTGCCCATATTTTTTGTTTTCCAAAGTTGAATTTTAGAAATGTTTTGAATTCCAACCTGAAGGAATGCTGCTTCACGTTTCTCGATAAGGCTGTCTTCTAGCATGGTAGACGACATTTTTTGGAAATTTTTTTTTCTTTAGTAAATCTACAAACAGAAATTGAACGCACAGATAATTTTGGTCCTTTATATATTAGACACATATAGATTATGTAATCTTGATCATTGATCGTCGGATGCACAACAAAATAAATAGACGCGAAATTTCCGATAAAAATTTACTTCACTTTCCAGTGATTTATTCATTAATTCCTGCTTTTAACATTATTTAAGTAGTGTTAATATTATGTCATTAGAACAACAACCTGATAATTCTCTCTTTGAAAACATTGTTCTAGAGGCAGGTTTAAGATTGGAGGGTTCTACAGTGGGTATCCACGAATTGGGTAAAAATTTTAACGCGTCCATTACTTTTAAGCGTTTTTACTCAAGAAACATTTTTCCGTTGTACCATAACTAATTTAATTTTTTAAATCAAAAGTGGTTGAACCATCAATATTTCGTCAAAAAATTATACAAAAAATAAAATGTCACTCACAATATCCAGACCCTGCAATTGAAATATTTTTAGAAGAGTTACAAAATTATTTGGACATAGATACAGAAAAATTTAAAGCGTGTTTACAACCACTTTCCGTGAAAGGACAATCAATCTAGTAAGCTTAAAGTATATTCATAACAATTAAAATGAATCCCAATTAATTAATTAATTTCAATGTTTTCAATGTTTTCAATTTTTTAAAAGTGGATCAACAGCAGATAGTTTTGTTCGCATTTTGTTGAGTATTGACTTTTTTCAGGCGAATCTGATTGATCAATTATTAGAAAGATTACCAACTTTCATATCAGATTCTGATAATGATATTATTGAATCACCCATTCCACGATTAATACTTCAACAATTGAAATGGTTGGATAATATTGTAAATCCAACAAGAATAACAGAAAAGATATTGGAGGTGAACCAAAAAAAAAAAAAAAATTAATAAAAATTTTTTTTTTCACTCAATTTGAATTTATTTATTTATCTCAACAAAAGTTTTGCCTGCTGTTTTAAAGATGATTCCAATTACGCCCTTAGGAATTCAAAGGGAAATTATAACTAGTCTTCCAGATATTATTAATGACTCTGAACAAAAGGTAAATAAGTGATTAAAGTGATTAAAGTGATTAAAGTGATTAAAAGGAATTTCTAAAATTTTATTAGAATATGTTTATAAAAATTTTATTTATTTATTATATAGATCATTGTTAAAGAACTTACAGAATTGATTGAACAAAATCATCGACTGATTGTTCCAATTCTTGACGCGCTTCCTCATTTTACATTACAAGAGGATTTAATGACTAATATTCAAAATACAGTGTTTAGTCGGCTTGAATCTGCTGATTTGGACGATTTACCAATTATTGTAAAATTCTTATTACAAACATCCTCGCCAAATGATGCTGAAAATGTATTTTTTTTTTAAAAAAAAAATATTTTTGAATATGTTAATATATTTACACAATTATTATAAAGTTTATTTTGATAACTTAAAATTTTTTACAGGTAATACGACAGATAAGGAAAAAAGTTGATTTCCATTCGATTGGAAAACTTCAAAATGAATTAAAAAACTCGAAACTTCATCAAAAGAAGAAAAAAGAGCTTATGCCAGAAGCTCTAATATTAGACTCAATTAAGAAAGGAATAAACATTCACAAGTTCGTTACTAACGCGTGGCTTAAAGAAATAAATGATGTCGAATTGGAGGTAAGGTTTTATAGAATTTAAAAGAATAATAAAATTGATAATAAAGTTAATACCAGTTAACGATTTCGATTTATCTAATTATTTTTGATTTTTATTTAACAGAAAGATCATAGGATCATTGACATTTTGACATTATTTCTACTTCACTCGATTCCAAGTCTTAAGAAGAAAGTAGAAGCGATTTTTTGTAAAAAGATTTTGAACGGATTATTTTCAAAGAATCTCTTGGAAGAGACAATAAAATATCATTTCGAAGGCTTGAGAGATTATTTTGATGACATTCTCATCATCTCAGAAAGTTTACTTCGTACAAGTCAACATCAGACAATTGTTGCACGTGCAGCATGCACTTTATATCGAAGTGCATTTATGGTATTTGAATTATATCAACAACAAGAAATAATAGCATCTCTAGTGTCACATATCGGAAGTGGTTCACCAACTGAGATTGAATCAACACTTTCAGTTTTATCTCATCTTGTTGACGTTGATATCAAGAAATTGAGTCAATTTGCTATTTTCGTAAAAGGACTTCTGGATTATTTGGATAATCTTAATTTAGATCAGATTCGAATTCTTTTTGACATAATTGGCAAATTGGTATACGAGGTACCAGCTAATTTTTTTTTTTTTTTTTTTTTTTTCGGTTTGAGAGGTGATTCTTAATTCAAAGTTTATCAAACCGATTCTTTTTTTTTTATCACTTTTATATTATTGTATGTACAGGATGCAAATTATGATAGTAACAGTGGGGGTTTGTTGGCAGAATTTTCAATCGTTATTCAAAAACAATTGTCAAATCCTAATGAGAAATACAAACAAATTGGTGTTATTGGAGCTTTAGCTTTGGTGAGAATATTAGGTTCTAAGCCAACTTTAGAAGAATGTAAATAATCTAAAATACTTTAAATTTTAATCTTATTTTATACTTTAATATTTTAATATTTTTATATTTGATTTATTAACATCAAAATTTTTATCATCCAAGATACGTCAAATACGTTTTCAGAAATCGCTAAAGAAAATATTATAAAGATTGAGCGTCATTGTTCAAGATCAATGGTATTTCCCATAATTTCTATAGTGAAAAGTTTTATTCCATCTAAGAATATTTGATTTTAAATTATTTTTTTTTTTTTTAAAAGACGTGCCTTGCATTCGCTTACGACGAATTAGCGTATTACATTTCTACTGGAATTTTGAACCCTGAATTGGTCAACTGGATATCTGAAAAAATAGAATCCCAATTTGCAGATACTTTTATAGTAGATGAAGACGACATAGCTAAATTTACAGAAGATGAATATCATTTGAAAGGAATTCCAATAGAAACTTGGATGGAATGTGAAATAGATTGTGATGTGAGAATAAAATTTTATTCTATCAATGATTATTCCTTTTTGTTCGTAATAATATTATTTAAAATTTTTTTTTTTTATAATAAAATCAGGTCGAAGAAAAGCTAAATGTCAATATATATCCTATGTTATGTGAGGCCTACGTTCCCGCTAATTTACGCACGCAATATTCTGTAAAACGAGATTATATCATTTGTTGTTGTTCTATGATGAAATTAATGCAAGCCGGCTTGAAATTCAAGGAAAGCGGAAATTTATATTCTATTGGTGTTTTATTAGCTGCTGGTTTGCTGATGTATAAAAATGTGGATGCACAAGTAAGTTTTTAAGAAATATATATTATAAATCTTTTATTTTATATTTTAATTTAATTATTAACTTTTTCTTTTAGGAAATGAAATCTAATGATTATTCAAAAGAGATGCGTGAATCAATTTGCAATTCACTATTTTATTGCATAAATTGGTACGATAAATTTATAAATTATTATAGAATACTCACATTTTCATAAAGTAACATAGGTTGTTTTTATATTTAGGTGCCGAGAAATCGTTAGTGATTTCTGGGGTCAAGATAAAGAAATTTGTAGTAAGCATAGTAATTTTATTATAATAATTATTATTATTATTATTATTATTTTTTTAGAAAAAATTTTACTTTATGATAATTGATTAAATATTTCACATTGTGTCTTTAGAGAATGTCTTTATGAGATTGCGACACATTATTGAACTTGAAAAAAGGCTGAATTCAATGTTAGAAATAACACCTTCTTTTCAACCGTTTGGATTGTTTACACCTACATCATCATCATCATCAAAGAGTGTAAAATCAAAACCTGTTAACATATCTTCGGGAACTATGCAAAGAAGTTTTGTAAAATCAGGTAGAACAGTTCGTAGATCAGTTGTCAGTAAAAATAAGATTCTTAGTGCTCGTCGTGCCGTTGATGCCGATAAGAATGAAGAAAATAAAGTTTCGGAAGATCTCCCAAAATTCTCGTCAGTTACAGATTTAAGACCATTGATGCGTGAACTTGATTTGTCAGTGTTTGGCATGCTCGAATACTTCGAATTTAAAAAGTCTTCAGATGATAATGAAGAGCCAAAAATGGACGCAGATACGGATATTAAGTTGCTACCTGATGAAATTGTTTATCTTCTCGATGACCTTAATCGTAAACTTGAATTTAAACTTCCTCCGCCAATTTTACCCCTAGTTTCTAGAAAAGTAAAAAAAAATGAATATGGAAATAAGCAAGAAGGTTTTGCTTTAATTTCTCGGATGAATTCAGTAGATTTTGTGACAAAAGTGGCTACAGAGTTTGTTCCTCATCTTTTGAGTCAATTAGAATCTATTTGTGATGAATTGAATTCTGATAATGATATAGTAATGGAAGAGACTGAACATGCTGCCTTACTTCGATGCCTAGAATTAATACTTGAGATCTTTCGTCGATTAATATCTTGGTCTGAATTAAAATCTCCTGATTATAAGGAAACTTTAATCATTATTATGAATCAGTTGGGATCTAGGACTCAATCTTCAAATTGCATGCCTTTACCTGACAGTTTAGATAATCTCCAACAATCTGCTGATAATGCATTTCAATTCTTCCAAGACTTTGCTTCACGACTTCCAACAGTTGGTTTGGCAATATTGTTTCATAAAATTCTCATTAAAATTACTGAACTTTCTCCTGAATCAAGTAAACTTATCGCTATGTCTGGAGAAATAGCACGAGGTTTTGCTTCACGACAATGGAATGATTCTAAAAAATTAAATTCAGATTCTATAATTTATCTTGTGCAAAAAGATATTAAACATTCTTCGAATCCAATAGAAAGAATTATGTCTTACGCTTCAGATATTTTCTCATCGATTGAATCACACGATGACGATATTACAGAAACATATCCCTTATTTAATAGAGAAACTTTTCCACATTTCTATAAGGCTTTGTTTATAGAGCTTGTAGAAATGTTACGAGATTTTCGTCCCGAGAATTTTGATTACACTGCGGATGTTATGACTTATATTACCCACACAATTGATTGTTTTCAAAAATTGGTTTCGTTTATCAAAATCAATCACAAACGTGTTGTTCTCTCTGTCTCTTTAAAACATGGACGCAATTTTATTGATTTGTTTCTTAGAAAAATGTTACCACTAATGGATAAGAACTTCTCATTTTATCGTGAAGAAATTCTGTCCATTATCAAGAATTTTCAGATTTCAACACGAAGTCTTCAGGTAATGAGATATTTTTTTTTTTTTTTTTGATTATTTTTTCTCTTATAAACCAAACTAATAAACATTTTATTAAAGGCACTTTGTAATCATGTGAAAGTTCACAAAGAATCACAACTCGCAGCAATGGTCCCCCTTGTCAAAAGATCATTAGAAATAGTGATCTTTCAAGTTAAGGCTATGATTCAAAATAACGGATGTCCTCCGGATACTTTTTTCTTGGGAGAACTTAAGAATCGTGATATTGAAGGAAGAGAAATTACTACCTACCAAAATGATGATCTCAGCTCTGTATTGGATGAAGATGAGGATGATGACGGCGATGATAATGATGTAGAACAAATGGATGGAAAGGATGATAATGAAATAGATGAAAATGGAAATAACGTTGAAAAGGAATCCGAAAATCATAAATCAAAAAAAGATAATTCGGAGACACAAAATGAAGGATACAATTCCGAAAATGATAAATCATCTATAAATAATAAAGAATCTATAAAGGATGTGTCCGAGACACCTGATGCCAGTGAAATTCCTGAAGAAGAAGATGAAATGGAACAAGATGAAGAAAATGATAATTTTGCTGAATCATCAACACGATATAAATCAGGATCAAAGAATAAATCTGAGACACCTGAAGAAGACGATGATGATATGGAAGTAGAATCTTCACATGAAATAGATGATGAGGAAGACAATGAAGAGAGGGATTCCTCCTGCAAAAAGCGTAAGTCAGATGAGACAGATGAAGATAATGAACCTGATGAATCTATTCGTAATGGCAAAAAACCTCGTGTATCTGTATCGAAATTATCTGTTTCTTCGTCAAAAAAACCCATTAAAAGGCTGACCGTCAAAAGATATTTACGATAGTCTTTATAAACCAATCAATAATAAACAGGTAATACTGTAATAAGTGTGATGATAATAATGATAATAAACGAACATAGGTCAACTTATGTACATAATTTGATTTAAAGAAGGATTGTAGAACTAGAAACAATTTGTTGATTATTAGTTAATATTAACTGTTAACCTATATCTGATATTATGTCCGTATGTTATATATCATGAAATAAAAATAGCAAAAGCTTTTACTTTTTATTATTATTATTATTATTTAACGATATAATTAAATATTTAACCTTTCGAATCTTTCGAACCTATAAAGCTTTTCAATAAACATTCTCAGTTACCCACTCAAATAGTGAATGAATGAATGGTTAGTAGTTAATAGAAAGTTAAAAATTCCGAAGTCTATTGTAAAATGAAGTTTATTTATTACAACAAAGAAATAACTTGATTAATAATCAAAAAATATGATAATTTTTTTTTTTTTTGCCTAGAATCGTTAAATGTTAGTGTAAATAATAACTGGTTTTGTTCAAGAAATATTATTATATAAATTATTATATAATATCTGCTCAGTATTCTTAAATTATCACGTATTCAGTGTTCGTGTATCAGTATCCCTACTTTTCTATCTATGTAAAGTCATATGCGCAGAAGATATACATGTAATAGACTTGTTTGTTTTATTTATTCGCATCGAATTCTTTTGGTTAAAGTCAATGTTTGAATGAATTTATTAACTGCGCTAGTGATGTAATTTTTACATTTAGTTTAAAAGATTTCGTTCATTCTTGTTCTTTAAAAAGAAAACCTCGACTTAATGTTTATTGATTATTATCAAGTAAAAGAACGCTAATTAAAAATTATGACAAAATATTTGCATAATTAATTTCTGATATTTTCGGAAAATTTAAAATCCTCAATGCCATAATAATCATTACAAATAGCATATAAAAAAAAACCTTATTCGTATTATTACGTCTTTTCATTAATTCAAATAAATCGATTTTATCTTTACCATTGTTACAATAGGATGAATTAAATGGGCATTTTTTTCTTTTAATGATATTGTATCACTATATGTAAGAGTTAGCCATTATGCATCTATTGTCTTTGGGAAAAAGAATGAAAATGTTTTAACAGAAATAGGTTAAAAAAAGAAAATTGTATAATATGGTATGATACAAAAAAATTCATCCATTTATCCTAAAAAGTTTAAAAAAAAAATAGAATAAAGATTTATGATAATCTCGTTACCCAAGGAGAAACAAAGGTTCCGAAATTCTCGGATAAATTTGTTAATACTAGCAAAATTTACCCGAATTTTTTAGACTCGAGAAACTTTCTTTAGATTTGTTATTGACGTTATGACGTAATGACACAATTTATACTAAAAAAAAAAAAGAATACACGATCGCGATAAATGACTAATATGTACCTTATCTTCTTTGATCAACTCTATGTTGAGAGAACAATTTCGATTCTTTTTTAAATTAAATTAAAAAGGTTCGAAAATTTAAAATTTAATCTAACCTCCAAATTCTCCACGCTAATCACACTAATCTATTATCTCTTTTTGTTTTCCTGTGATACTTTAATTAAATGTAAATAAATTGAATAATTCAAATTACGATTATTCATTTGTTTGTGTTGTGTTTGTGTTATTATCTATATTTGTATAATGTAAATTTAGGCAATTCTTTAACTCCTTTTCTCCATTTTCTCCTCGTGATATTTGGTTTGGTCCAATAATTAATGAATTTTCTCAGTGTCACGCTGATTGATTTAATGTGACACAACCCCTGCGATCTCTTACTATAAATCTTGCATAATTTTCGTTTTCTCTTTTTTGTTTTTTGAAATTATGAAAACATATCATTATAAACGTGTGATGAAAATATTTTGTATTCGTTTTTGTGTAAATAGTTTTTCCTGTAAATACTTTCCTTGAATGTATTAGCAGCCTTTCCATTACTTTTATTCTTTAACCTTTTCTGTACATTTAATACAACTTTTTTTTTTTTTTTGCTTTTAAAAAATACAATTTTACTAATTCCTAGTTCAAAAGATAACTTTTGGTGTATATAATCCATTTTAAATAATTTTTTTCGCGTGCTTTCTAATTATCCCAAGAACAACCCTATCCATTGCTTTTGTTAAGTTGTGCAAACACTATTGTTGTTATACCGTGTGGAGTCTCTTACTAAAAAAAAAAACCCCCTCATTATACTTGAATAAAAAAAAAAAAATCAACAATGAGCAACGAAAATTTATTCATTCAACTTGTTCGATTTTATCAAGGAAAAATACATTCTAATGTTCCCGAATATATTATACAGACATATAATAATAGTCAAGAGAGTTTAAGACACCATCATATGTCTGTTTGGGAATCTTCCTCTAATATTCAATTGTTTCTAATAATTTTCTCTATTCTAACATGGATTGTTATGATGGCTTTTACCTTATTGGGTTATATCCGGGCGTAAGTATTTTTAATTATTTAATATATGCTATTTGAAAATAAAATATATCGCATTCATGCATTAATATGTATCTAATTATTTTTAAAGGCGCACAAGGTTTGGTCCTTCTAAAAGATCGAAAACATCCCAATTACCTGCCGACCAAGTTCCTGGGGTGTCAATTATAAGGCCACTTAAAGGTGTAGATTGTAATTTATTCGAAAACCTTTCTTGTTCATTTCGACAAGATTATCCTAAATTTGAGATAATTTTTTCTGTCGCAAGTGAACATGATCCCGCAATAAAAGTGGTAAAGAAATTAAAAAAAAAGTTTCCAAAAGTAGATGTAAACTTAATATTGGGTACGCATTTATATATGATTCATATATAATTTTGTATCACAAGTTATCTCAAATTTTTATGGCAAATTTTTATAATTTCATTATATATGTATTCAATTAAAAACAGGTGAACGACAAGTTGGTGTAAATCCAAAAATAAATAATTTGATTCGAGCGTATGAAACTTCTAAATACGATATTATTTGGATTTTGGATTCAAATATTTATGTAGATTCAGGATGTCTTGGGAGGTCTGTGGATAAATTAATTCAACCAGGTGTTGGCCTTGTTCATCATCTTCCTTTCGCTGTGAGACCTGATACTTTTGGTTCAGAATTGGAAATGATGTTTATGGATACGGTTCATGCCAAAATGTATTTGGCAATTAATGCATTAGGTCCTGATAGTTGTGTAGTAGGTAAATCAAATTTATATCGTAAGACTGATATTGAAAGTGTTGGAGGATTAGCTCAATTTGGTAAATATATGGCGGAGGATAACCTTATCGCTAAAGCTCTTTGGAGAAAAGGTCTTAAACATGAAATGACTAGTGACTTAGCTTATCAACCTCTTGGTTCTATGGCTACTGCGGACTACTTCTTACGTCGTTCGCGTTGGACTCGTATTCGAAAGTATACTGTTATACTCGCTACAATTGTTGAACCTCTAACAGAATCAATATTATGTGGTTTATTAGCTTCTTACGGATTCAATCTTTTATGGAATATTAATCCATTCAATTTCTTAGCTTTCCATATTATCTTTTGGTTTTGGATGGATCTTAAATTATTTCAAACTTTAAGTAAAAAGAAACTTAATATAGAAAGTTTGCGTGGATTTATAATGGCTTGGGCCATGCGTGAAATTACCGCTTTACCTCTTTACATTTATTCTGTGAGTGGCGATACCGTTGATTGGCGTGATGGTACTTTTCGATTAATGCGAAATTCCGCAGTAGAAAAAATAACACCTCAGCAACCACAACAACACAGACAACACAAATCTACTGGCAGTCTTTCTTTACCTTCTTTTGCTCGTAATATTGCAGCCATAACAAATTACAATACAACACATTCAACTTCCAATAGTCAAAGAAACGCATTCCATCAACAACATTTCATGGTTTCTATTCTCACTTCAACAATATTAGTAATTGACATAATGATGGATATTCTTTTCTCTAGTACTCGTAATGGAAATCCCGTAGAGAATATAGAAACTGATGAATTAAAAACGGATTCAGAAAAAAAAAATAAAAGACGGAAATGTGATCGAAAAGTAAGACATAATTCAGAAGACGATTCAACAGATCATGATGATACAATAAGTATAGATAGTTCCGATGAATTACGAATTAGTAATCATGATGATCCAATCATTAAACATGCAGGTAAATATTTGAAAAATACTTTAAGCAAAACAACCAGTCATGTTTTATATAATGATGAAAGCGAAGACAGTTCAGATTCAGAAAATATTACAGGATCATCAAATAATAATAATAATAATAATAATAATAATAATAATAATAATAATAATAATAACATTAATAATATTAATGATAATAATATTAATGATAATAATATTAATGATGATGATGATGAATTCCCATCAATAACATCACAGTATAATTCAAAATCACCATCATTTTTTTCTTCACCATCTTCGACAAACAATAAAGAAATCGTCAATAGTTCAACAACAACACTTCATTCTAGGCATCCTTCAATTTTAAATGAGATATATAGAAGTGTGTCTATAGGACTTTCAATGCATTTACAAAATGAAAAAAACTTTATTGAAGGTCAAAAATTAAGTCGTAGGCAAAGTATGTCAGTTAGTAATAATAATAATAATAATAGTAATAATAATAATTCCTCATTGTCAACATTGGCAACGAGAAAAAGTTGTAGAAGCATGTCACTAGACAATATATAATTATATATATAATTTAGTCTTCATTTTTTTTTAAATAGAATTTTGGTATACATAATATACATAATTTATATATATTCATATATGTTAGATTCATTTTAAAAATTTTTTTTTTAAAAAAAGAACTTTTGTAAAAAAATAAAATAACTTGCGGATTCACATATCGTATTACACGTAATCAGAAATGACAAATTAGAACTGGTTTTACCAGAAAACAAAGTGAATCATTTTTCCTTGAATAAAATGTACACGTGGCCAACTAATTTGTTTACTATATCAAGGTCTCTAATTTCCTAATTTAATTAATTCAAATAAAATTGATTATTGTCGAACGTTTAATATTTTGTATTACAACAGTAATGAAGTGTAATCAATTGAAACCTCTTGTTTTATAATCAAAATTTTCATTCCTTTTGGAGACGAATTAATTAGAGTTTTCAATTACAATAGTACAATACAATACAGTAATAAATAAATGTGCGTTTCATAATTCTTATCATAAAAGAAAATTTTTATAAATTAAAAAATTCGTTTTCAATCATTCCTTTTGGAGAGGAGACGAATCATTTTTATATTATTTTTAAAGTCATCGATTTTATTAAAATGCTAATAAAAACTTGGTCGCTGGCTTTTGTTATGATTATGATCGTGTTGAACACGGTACTCGCAAAGGATAAGACAGAGAGCACAGGTAAATATAAATATAAAGATGTTGTAAATGAAATTTATCTTTGAATTCATATTAATTTTATATTATGGATATTTGCACCAGTAAATACTTCACCTACAAAAAATAAAGATGAAAATACTGTTCAACCTACAACTGCGACAACAGCTGAAGCAATAGCGAAAACAACAGCGAAAACAACAGCGAAAACAACAGAGGAAACAACAGAGGAAACAACAGAGGAAATAACAGAGGAAACAATAGAGGTAACAACAGAGATAACAACATTAGCGGTAACGACGACTCCCAAAAAAATTCCAAGTTCTACGACTTCTAAATCTTCGGAAAGTTCTACAACGAAAACCACAAAATCAGGTATTTTAAAAAAACAAATAAAGAATTTTGATTATCTTCGAATTTATTTTATTAAAATATTTTTGTCTTTACTCGATGAATTCAGAAAAGTCAACCAGTACTACAACAGTAATTACGGTAACTACGGACAGTATTAATCCAACTTCAACAACATTATCATGGCAAGAATGTGTCGATTACGGTAAATGGTGTCGCGACGTAAAATGTTCATATAGAAATTATACATCAAGTTGTGAAAACGGTGGAGAATGTAAATTTTTTTTTTTAAATTAATTACTTTCATTGAGAATCTGTTTATTTTACATACACGCAATATGAAAAATTCATTCTTTTTATTTTATAGGCTCTTGTTTTGGTGGAATTGATTATATAGCTGGAATTAATTCGTCAAACCAGGTTACCTTTTGCTATGTTTTGTCATTTGTAATTTTTATCATTCTCGGTATCATTTTAGATTTAAAAACTTAGAGTAAAAATTGCATTACAATGTATATATATAATCAACAAAAAAAATATATTTAATACTGAAAATTCAAAATTTTATTTTTATTTTATTCGAAATAAAGTAATTTTAAAATTTATATAATTTACACAAACAAACTTCAGAAAATTTATCACTTTTCGCAAAAAAAGAAAATATGAAAATAAGAAACTTCTGTTACTGCTGATCTTCTAGTTGAAAGGAGAACATTTTGAGTTCTCGAAAATTCTCGAATTTCTTTATAAAATTTCTGAGGTTTGTTTATTGTTTACAAAATACGGGAAAAAAGGGATTCACCCCCCTAAGTTGTACAGTAAAAAAAAAATATACGAAAGGAAAGTCATGCACGATTTTTACCTAAACGCGTTGCGGATCTGAGCTTTTATGATCGATCTGGGCCTATAAATATCCTAAATATCTTTAGATCTACAGGGTCATGAACTTGTTTATTATTCTTTAGGAGTTTTAATCGCGGTGTTTTATGTTATTTGTTTTGATCCGCTGGTTTTGCTAGTTTACACGTGTAATTATTGATTTGACCAACATGTGTTATTTTGTTTATAAATAAGATCATAACTTTTCTTCTTTTTCTGCCCTTTCATCCTTTAAATAAACAAACATTCCATAACCGAATTAGTTAATCGCTTCTTTTCCAAATAACGTGCTTATCAACCATTTTTATTAATAATAGTCATGAACACAATTTCTAAATTTTCTAATCAAAATACCGTCACTCATAATAATAAAGATGATATCAACAAAAAATTTGGTAAAGAAAAGAAAAAATACATAAACATACTTTCTAGTAGAAATCTCAACTCCAACAACAAAGAGAACGTTATGGGAATTTCAAATTCAAAAGTATCAAGGAAGGAAGAAAATACTCTCAAGAAAGATCCTATTACGAATAAAAAGAAAGAAATAAGAACTGTTACTACTACTATTACCACCACACCACCACCAATATCGGTAACACCCATAACAACCTCTGCGCCTTCTACACCGTCTTCGTCGCCTGTGTCGTCTACAATATCAAGAGCAACTTCACCTCTTCCTCCTACACCAAAGGAGGAAATTGATATCGTTTCTCTTCTTCCTACACCAAAGGAAAATGCTGTTATCGTTTCCCTTCCTCCTACACAAAATGAAAATGTTAATATTGAGGAGGAGGAACCTTTGTTAAAACCAAACCCTAGACGTTTCGTATTATTCCCGATTGAATATCATGAGGTATATTTATTTATTAATTTGATTTATTTATTTTTAATTCATTTATTTATTTTTAATTCATTTATTTATTTTTAATTTATTTATTTATTTATTTATTTATTTTTAATTTATTTATTTATTGATATTAAATTATTTAAAAATCCATTAATTAATTTAGATCTGGCACATGTATAAAAAAGCAGTAGCTTCATTTTGGACAGTAGAAGAAGTTGATCTAACAAAGGATAATGCCGATTGGGAAAATAAATTAAATGATGATGAAAAATATTTTATTTCTCATGTATTAGCCTTTTTTGCGGCATCCGATGGTATCGTGAATGAAAATTTGGTGGAACGTTTTAGTAGTGAAGTACAAATTCCCGAAGCGAGATGTTTCTACGGTTTTCAAATTATGATGGAAAACATTCATTCGGAAATGTATTCTCTCTTGATTGATTCTTATATTAAGGATCCGAAAGAAAGAGATTATTTGTTTGATGCTGTTGAGACGAGTGAGTAAAAAATTATTATTATTTAATTAATAATAATATTTATTTATATATTATATATAATAATATATTTTTTTTTTTATATTTATATTTATAGTTCCGTGTATTAAAAAAAAAGCGGAATGGGCACTTCGATGGATTGAAGATAAACAATCATCATTTGCTGAACGTCTTGTGGCATTTGCGGCGGTAGAGGGAATTTTCTTTTCTGGATCATTTGCATCAATATTTTGGCTTAAAAAGCGAGGGTTAATGCCAGGATTAACATTTTCCAATGAATTAATTTCTCGGGATGAAGGATTACATTGTGATTTTGCATGTTTACTCTTTTCACATTTACGTACTCAACCATCAAAGGAAAAGGTGAGAACTATTATTATAGAAGCGGTTATTATTGAACAAGAATTTCTTACAGAATCGTTACCGGTAAATCTTATTGGAATGAATGCGAAATTGATGAAACAATATATTGAATTTGTGGCGGATCGATTGTTGGTTGCATTAAATTGTGATAAATATTATAAATCCGAGAATCCATTTGATTTTATGGATTTAATTTCTTTACAAGGTAAAACCAATTTTTTCGAAAAACGCGTCTCGGATTATCAAAAAGCCGGAGTCATGAGTAAATCAAAATCCATGTGTAGTAACAATGATCCTATGGCGAATATTTTTACACTTGATGCCGATTTTTAGAATATGAATTTTTTTTAAATAATGTTTAGATTAGGATTGGGGGTATTTAATAAAAAAATTCTCACTTTATAATTTACAAAAAAATAAATAAACTGAAATTATGTAAAAGATCATTATCGTTTTGTTTCTTTTTTTTCATTTACAAAATTTAAATATTATATAGGAACAAAAAATGAAATAAAATATATATTCGTAGAAAAGTTTTACAAAGAAAATTATATTCAGAAAAAAAAAATAAAATAAAATAAAAAAAACTGTACAAAATAAATGAAAATTATGTATAAACATATAACAGAATAAAAAGAAAAAATAGGCATTTTATACATATACCTTTGCAACAAAGCAAAGGAAAAAAAAAGGAAGAAAAGAAAAAGGGAAAAATAAAAAAGAAAAAGGAGAAAATAAAGAAAAATGAAGAGAAAAAGAAAATAGAAAATAACCTACAAAAAAAAAAAAGAAAAGTATGAAAAATATCTTTATACAAGAAAAAAAAAAAAATAGTTCGACAAATATATATACTCCCCCCAAAAAATAATAATATAACTACATTTTAAATATATACGTACACATTGTATATATATAAAAGTTTTTTTTGGTAATACTTTTTGTCCACGTCGATTGATCGAAAAAATTAAAAATCAATCTCCGTAAATCTACTTATTACAATTATTATTATTATTTATTGTTACTATTACTACCACCACTCCTCTAACTTCTAATATAAGAAATAATAAGTAATAATATTCTAAATAATATGAAATTTAATAAGAGAGAATTTGAATAAAGAATTTAAAAAGTTTCCTATTAAAAAAATTAAAAAAAAAGATAAAGTCAAATAAATTATTAATAAATTATTGAGAATAATAAATTGAATAATATATAAATAAAATAAAATATTACTTTAATAATTATATCTTGGACCAACCCCATTAATAGGAGGACCTAATTGTTGTTGATGAGGTAATAAAGGAGGAGGTTGTTGTTGTGGTGGCGGTGGCGGTAAATGAGAATTACCCATTATCCCTCCCCCATTCATTGCTCCATTCATTACTCCATTTTGTGATTGTATGTGATGATGTGGATTACCTCCATATCCATTAATAATTGGTCCTGAAGAATCCCTTAAGAAATTGGTTAATGGTTGACCTAAAATATTAGGAGGAACATTATTATTATTATTATTATTATTATTATTATTAGGTTCAGGTGAAAGTTGTGGATGATGGTGATGATGATAATGATGATTATTATTATGATGATTATGATTGTGATGATTGTGATGATTATGAGAAGGTGGTTGTTGATGTGGCGTTATTCCTGGTAAACGCGATGAACTTTGTGTTGATTGTGGTGGAAGAGGAATTTGTTGTTGTTGTTGTTGTTGAAGTGATTGTTGAGAATGAGAATGAGAATGAGAATGAGAATGATAATGATGAGGAGGAGGAGGAACGACTCGTGATGTTTGACCCATTGAAATTGATGGTGGAGATTTACCTGTTACATGATTATTATAAGAATGTTGTGATGGTGTTGGTGGTGGTGGCGGTGGTGGTCCTTGCGGTGTTAATGGAACAGATGGAGGTGGAGGTGAAATATAATTATTAGGTTGATTTGTTTGTGAATGATGATAATGGTGATTTTGTTGTTGTTGTTGTTGTTGTGCATGAGGATGATGTGAATGATTATGATGTTCTTGAGGATAATGATGATGAGTATGAGAAGATGAAGAAGAGGGATGATGATGATGATGTGGTGGATGTGATGGATGTGTAGGGGATGATTGCATTGGAGGTAAAGTTGTAGATATACTTCCTGATCTTGACGATGATGATGATGATGTAGAATTTCGATGTGATAATGATGATGGTGGTCCTTGTGGTGGTAATGATTCAGAAGGTGATAAAACATTTGGTAAAGATGGATTTCTATGATTTGTAAGTGAATTATTCATTGGAAGACGATGATTTGAGTGAGAGTGAGAATGAGAAGGTGGTGGCGGTGGCTGTTGTTGTTGATCAGGAATTGGAGGACCATTCATTCCATTTATTTGTGGAGGAGGATAACCCAATACATTATTACGTGACATTGACATAGGATTAGAATTTTGTGGTAATGATGGATCAGAAACACGACGAGATTGTATATTCGAAGGATTCATCTGTTTAATATAAAAACATGCAATATGTTATAAATATATTTGATATATTATAAATACATTTGATATATTTGATATGTTATAAATATATTTGATATGTAATATAATAATAATAATACAATTAAATAAATCTAATTACCTCTGATGGATGCATATATCCATTATTATTTGGAGGATATCCAGGATGTTCTATTCTTGTACCACCATACATATTACCATTACCATTAACTTGATTATGAAGGTGATGGTGATGATGATGAGGTGGTGGTGGTGGCGGTGGAGCTACCATTGATGGTGGTGGATTCACTATTCCATGATCATTATTTATTGATGATAAACCATTTGACATCATTGGTTGTCGATTATTAGAAGAAATTCCATTACTTTGAGGAGGAGGAGGTGGTGGTTGCTGAGATGAAGGTGGAGGTATTGGTTGAGGTGGATGTGGTTGTAAATTATTATCCTTATTTCTATTATTATTACCTTCTTGCGACTGTTTATAATAATAATAAATAATTGTGTTAATAATAGTATAATATATTATACAGAAAATATAATTAAAGGAAAATGTGATGATAAAGAGTTACGGACCATTTGGTTCGTATAAATCATGTATGTAATATAAGCGTGTGTGGCATTCCGTTTTATTTTAGGATCATGCTTCTGCTGTTGCAAAAATGAATTGATCGATCACATAATCATTCCCAATAAAAGAATGAAAAGAGAAAAACGAGGAAATAAGGAGAGAAATAGGGAGAGGAGGTAGGTAGGTAGGTAGGTAAGGAGAGAGATGAGGTGGGGTAGGTAGGTAGGTAGAGAGGGTGGGGAGGGGAAGGAAGTGAGGGAAGAGGAGGGGAGGGAAGAGGAGGGGAGGGAGGGAATAGGAAGGAAGGAAATAAAACAAGTTGGTGAAGAACGTACCATATCGTGATACTTTCTACTGAAAGCATTTGGTTGTCCACGCATTGAAGGTATTTGTCCATTTGATTGTTGTTGTTGTTGTTGTTGTTGCATAGATGGTGGTGGTTGCATATCCTACAAAAAAAAATATAATGATGATCATTTTATATATATATATATATATCATTATAATTTATCATTTATATAGTATAATATTGACTTACAAGATGATTTCCAACCATTCCACCATGTGAAAATCCATTGTTTGGATGAATTGGGGGAGAAGAGGATTTTTGATTTCGATCATTTCGATCAATTATCAAGTATGGTGATTTCATATTTGAAGGTTTAGTATCAACCGCTGACATTGGAGGTGATCCCATACCATTATTCTTTGATATCGATGATGAATGTGGATGCGAATGTAGATGTTGATGTGATGGTGGTGGTGGTTGTGGTTGAGAATTATAACGATTTGATGATGATGATGATGATGATGAAATATCAGATTGTGGTGGAATAATAATAATATTATTATGTGATCTTGGATATGGTTGTGGTGATTGTAATGACGATGGTGGTAAGGGTTGTGGCTGTTGTGATGATGGGGGTTGTTGGGGTGGTTGACTTTCCCAATCCATAGAATGTACTATTTTATATTACATAATCATATTTAAATTATTTATTTACATTATAAATATTTATTATAAATCATTTATTATCATAATAATTATTTTTACCTTGTGATACTGACGCGGGAGATAAATGATTTGGTTTTGTTTCTTTTCCTAATTGATCCCTTATTTCATGAAATTTGGGACTATTTGGATGATGAATTTTTTGTTTTTGAGCTATAAAATATTATATCACATGATATATCATTAACACATGATTGTTAGTTACACATGACATTATTGTTTGATTACATATGATTATTAATTATTTACACATGATTATAATAATGACATACAATAATCGGTCGAATCGGAAGGTCTACGTTTTTGTGGACTTTTTTTTACGATTCCTTTTGGTTCTTTGGTTGGAATCTTTATAAATGGATTATTAACATTATTATTAACCGAATTATTAATGGGATTGATGGTATTATTGACGGTATTAACTTGTGATGATCCACCCTGAATAATGAAATAAAAATAGTTAAAATTAATAATTAAGGAAATAAATTAATGAATAATTAATTAATTAATTAATTAACAAATGAATAATTAAGGAAATAAATAAATGAATAAATAAATAAAAAAAGGAAAAAGATAATACCGATGGGCGTTTTACATGTTTTCTATTGCTTCCATTATTATTGCCATTAATATTATGATTATTATTACTATTACTATTGTTGTTATTATTATTATTATTATTATTATTATTATTATTATTATTATTATTATTATTATTATTATTATTATTATTATTATTATATAATTGATGATAATCTCCAGTAGTTGTTGTTGATGATGATGATGATGATGATGATGGCATTTGTTGATGATGATGATGATTATGATTATGATGATTGTGATGATTATGATAAATATCAACATTTCTCATATTTTCTTCTGAATATGGTTCAGATTCAAGATTACGATATGTAGGTGAAGTATTCTATTATTTATGTATAATTATGTATAATTATGTATAATCATATATAATTAGATTAATTTAAATATTAAATAATTAAATATAATTAAATATAATTTAAATGTATATTTATTTATGATTACCATTGATGATCCGATTTGAATTGGATGATTTGATTCCGATAGTTGTGAAGCTGATTCTTCTTCTAATAATATATTAAATAAATAATAAATAAGTAATTAAGAGTTAAAAATCAAATAAATATTTTATTTATTTATTTATATATTATCACTAACCTATTAATGAAGAAATTGACATTGAATTGTTTTTTTGTCTTGTTCCCTGTGAGAAAATATTAATATTAAATATTAATAATATTATTATTATAAATTTATTAATTATATAATAAAGAATTCTTACATTTGAATAATTTAATTTATCATTTTGTATTTGAGATAAAGAAGAAATCGTAGTAGCAATTTCAACATCTGACATATTTTGTTCATTATCTTTTAAGTTATAATGGTGATCTCTTGAAGTAGGACTATATGAATTGTTGTTAGTGGTAGTGTTAGTGGAAGTAATAGTATTATTATTATTATTATTATTATTAATTTGTGATTGTGTAGTTTTTTGATTTGCTAATAGAATTATAGCTTCAGCTGCTGATGTATCATCTGTAGTTGTTGTATTTGAATTCGAATCTATTGTTGTTATTGTTGTTGTACTGTTATTATGAGAAGGAGGTGATGATGGTGGTAATGGATTTGGTGATAATTGTAAAGTCGAAGAAGAAGACGACGAAGAAAGCTGTGGTGGTGGTGGTTGTTGTTGTTGTATTGAAGAAGAACGAGAATAATAATCTCTTCCTCCTTGTTGTTGTTCATAATTACCACCATAAACAATATTATTATTAGTTGAAGATTGTTGTTGTTGTTGTTGAGAAGGTGAAGACGCGTGTTGATGTTGATGTTGATGTTGATGTTGATGTTGATGTTGATGTTGATGTTGATGTCGTTGATGAGAATGAGTATGAGCGACATTATTAACAGTATTAACGATATTAACAGCATTGGTAGTATTATTAGTAGTAGAAGGACCATCATCAGCTAAAATGTTTCTTAAACTAAATCCTCCTCCGCTTCCACTTCCGCCAGTACTATTAACATTACCACCAGAAGTTGATGATTGTTGTTGATGATTATTATGATGGTGATGATGATGATGATGATGATTATGATGATGGTCTGAAGAAGATGATGATGGTGATGACGAAGCGATAGTATTATCGTTCATAACATGTGATAACGAAGTTTTACGAGAATGCATTTTTTTTTCTTTTACGTTTAAAAAAAAAAATTAAGAATCCTGGGAAAGAAATTATATATATATATTACTTATATTTATATGTATATTGTTATAAGATAGAAAATGAAAAAATTCGGAAATAATAAAATTATTATTTGTCTTCTTTTTTTGGGGGTTGTCGTTCTTGTTTCTTTGTAACAGAAGTTTGAAGAAATAATATAATAATAATATAGTTTAAATATTATAAAAGAAATAAAAATTTTGTTTTTTTTTTTTTGAAAACAAATAATAATTTTCTCTCAAAGTTATTATTATATTAAAAAAAAAAAAAAAAAAACAACGGACGGAGAATAATGAAATGATGATAAAACTTGAGAGAATTGACAGAATTGAAGGGACTTTTTGAATTTTACAACAAAACTAGCCTATAAAAAAAAGTTAAAGATGTATATAAAAAAATATTATAAAAAAAATATATTATATTATATTATATATTATATAATAAATACAATATAGTATATAATAGTGTATTTAAAGTATACTAAGTAGAGTATATAATATAAAAATAAAAATAAAAAATAAAATAAAATAAAAAAAAATATAATATCAATTCAATTAGATAATAAATTATATAATAAAAATAATAATAAAATTTATTATATTAGTATAGAATAAATTACAAATATCAAATCAAATATGAAATAATAATATGAATAAATAAGTAAATTGCAAAAGAAGTAAAGGCCACAATCTAACAGTATCACGGCATATATATACACGTATATATAAATACTAGTATAAATTTATGTATATACGGGTTATCTTTGGAAACACAAAAAAAAAAAGATCTTATAATAACTTTAATACTAAAACGTTAAAATAAATAAATAAATAAAATAAAAATATGTAATAATAAATTTTGTATAATAACAATAGATAATAATAATAAATGTTTAATCAAAGATAATAATATTTAATAAAAGATAATAATAATAATGTATAAAATAATTATTATTATTATTAAAACGATGATGACGATGGCGAATGTTGATTGAAACTTGAGGAAAATTAGGAAAATTGAGAAATTCAAGAAATTCGAGAAATTTGAGAAAGCGGGAGATAAAATTGATTTATTATTGGTATTTATTTATTGTTATCATTTTACAGTTGAAATTTAAAAATGTTGATTAATTATATATTTATATGCTTGTGTATGAAAAAGAGGAGATAATAATAATAATTTTTGATGTAAAATATGTAAAATGTAAAGTTTATGCATGCATTAAATTTGCAGAGTTTTTTTTTTTTTTTTTAAAAAAAAAAAAAAATAAATAAATAAATAACAATAAAAAAAAAGAATAAAAAGATACTTGAAAAGGACATTTGAAAAAACAAGCATTTGAATAATTAAAAAAAGAGAAGCCCCGCATCTAAAGATAATAAAAAAAAAAAAAAAAAAAAAAGCCGCCACATACAAAGGGAAAAAGAAGTACATTATCATATTATATACATATATACACTTTACTTACTGTATAATCCTGTATATATATGAATGCATTACATTTATACATTTTATTAACATTCTTCTGTATGCAAGTAAAAGTATGCGTAGCAGAATCAACAAAGATATCTATCATTTTTAATATAGAATAATATAGGTTATTATAGTATATTTAATAATTATAATAATATATTTGTATTAATTTTTATTAATATTTCTCAAACGTTAAAATTATAATTAAATACCACTAATAAAACCCAATCACATCCCATTTCTATAGCTTTATTTAGAATACATGTAATAAGAGATAATAATAAATAATAATAATAATAATGATTATAATGATAAATGATAAAGCAATTTAAAGATTTGAACTGATAATCTGTTACACGAAATAAGTAAATTTAATTAACATATAGATAAAGCAATCAAGCAGAGTTCTTTTACTAGTAAAATTATAATAAAGAAAAACAAAACAAACAACATTAATTAACATTCATTAAAAGAGAGAAATAATTAAGTTTCCCAGGTTCGGGTAAGGGTAAGGGTAAGGGTTCATGGGTTTTTATTTTATTTTATTTAGTAAATAGTTTAATTAGGGTGACAGACTTTTATTAAATTGATAAAAAAAAAGATAACAAATATAGTAAAATTTAGTTGATTAGGTAGTTGACAAAAATATTGAGTAACCAATCACGTCACTGGATCCTCGATTGTGATTGGATAAGCAATTCCGTGAATTGTAATTTATCAACAAATAAATAAAATGAGTTTTATTCGGTATATTATTTACATATACTACATATACTCGGATAAAATATATACCAACGATTGATATTAATAATATTGATAAGATAGGAAGATAATTATAGATAATGAAAAAAAAAAAATAGGGAGATAAAAAGAATTACAAGATAAAAAATCTGTAAGAGAAGAAAAAGAAAGAGACAAATAAAATAAATAACATAAATACAGGTTTTATTGAAGGCGTCAACAAAAAAAAACAGAATAAGAACCTTAAATATATAAATAAATAAATATATATATATATATATACGTACCGTTTGGAGAAAAGAAACTTGTTTGAGTATCAAAAATATGAATATCAAAATACGAATTATCAATATTTGATGAATTTGAAAAAATGTATATATTTGTTTTATAAAATACACGAGATCAATAAAAAACTCATTTTTTTTAAATGACAATAATAATAATTAATAAATAATTAATAAATAAACAAGTCATTTTATATATATATATATCTATCTAAAGGGAAATGTGATATCACAAGTGTTACGAAACTTATTTGGTTTAAAATGAAAAAAAAAAATCAAAATCAAAATCAAAAAAAAAAAATAAATAAATAATAAATGCAAAATAGAAACAGAGAATAAAGAAATTTGGATACTTTCTACTATATATTGTACATTACATATTTCTATTGTACTGTACATATTTTATTTTACTGTACATATTTTTACTGTATATTTTTTTTTTTTGCCCCACATTATTACTGCATCTGACTACATCTAACTACATCTAACTACATCTAATTGTATATTATTCTCATATTTGTCAAATTTGTCATATTTATTAATTTTATTTATTTAATAATTAATTTTATTTTTATTTTAAAACGTGTTAAAATTAAAATAAAGTATTTAATTTTATTTTTTTTTAATATATGATATAATATATATATATACATACAAATACATAATTACATTCTTTCATTTATGCAGTTTGTTTAGAATAAAAATATATTATTTGTTGTTGTTGTTAGATTTTTTATTTTTAGTTTTTTTTCTTTTTTCTTTTTTTTTTTTTTTCCTAGATAACAAATAACAAAAATAAAATAAATAAAATAAAATAATAATAAATAATATTAATACAAATAAAATAATAATAATACAGATAAATAATAATAATAAAATAATACAAATGACGTTTTCTTTTCTTTTACCTTGAAGTTTTTTTTTTCACAACATTATTTAAAAATGTAAATGTACATATCTAAATATAAAATTTGTTTGCATTAATTTTGACATTATTAATATATTCAAATATCTATATCACAACATACATTAGTTCATTCATTTATTCATTTAGTTTTTATTTTGTGTTATTTTTTTTTAAAAAAAAAGGTTCGATTCAAAAAAAATACTGAAATCCAATAAATAACAATAACAAAAAATAAAATATACATACATATATATTTATTGTACAGTATCAAATTTATTATATATTTATATCTAATCTCGCGCGAACATTTTTTTTTAGGAATTTCGTAAATAATTTAATTTTAAGATTTTGCGAATTTAATGCTTGACAAATAAATAAACAAATAAATAAATAACAAATAATAAATAATAATAATAATAATAATAATAAAATGCAACCAAAAATCAAACAAAAGAATGTAACATGAAAATTATGTTTATTATATTTATTTGTCAATAATAATAATTATGATGATAATAATAATATAATAATAATAAACATTTCGTAAAAGAATTTAAGAATTTAAGAAAATAGTAATGTTTTTTTTTTTAAAAAAAACAATAATAAATTATATAAAAATTATGTTTGCAAAACATTTTACGATTCATTCTTTATTAAATATATATATTATTGTGATTATTATTATTAAAAAAGTTCACGCGAAAATTATAGGAGACCCGCCAAATATTTATATTTAACAGTATTGGTAATAAATGATCTACCACACACATCTCGATGATGATCTCGATGACGTTTCTGTTATTGTTAAATTAACTATAAAAGAATTTAAAATCAACCAATTAATTATATATAATGATTAATACGAACACTAAATAATTCATTCATTTATTGTTTCTTCAAGTCGCATACATGTACATTTATCAATACCAATTTGAATATTCATTTCTTTTTGATCCTGAAGATGACAGCGGTAAGACCAACTATAAAAAAACTCCTTCAACATTTGCCACATTTACCATTTTATCCACACATCCGCACATCCACACACACATAAATCCACACATTTACACATTCATAATAATAAAGTATATTGTAATTTTAAAACGGGTTGAATGGATATTACAGTTGATTATTTAATTTTTTACTTAATTGTTTTATTTATCTATATTTATTTATTTACTTAATTATTTAATTATTTAATTATTCTCTATTTTTATATTTATTATTTTATTTATTTATTTAATTTTTTATTTATTTAATTTTTATTTATTTTTATTTATTTATTTTTTACTTAATGTTATTGTTTGTTCCATAAAAAACTACAAAAAAAAAATATGTAATAAAGTTATGATATGCAATAATATGCTTATGTGTGTTTATGTGTATCTGTTATTAATGGTAAATAAATAAACTAAATAATAAAATCTGTGTTTATTTAGCATCATTTATTTATTCTTTTTATATTTATTATATTTATCATATTTCGTTATTTTCTATGATATAATAATGTTCATAATATTTATAAATCTATAATATTTATAAATTATCTATGGACGATTTTCACATTCAAGAAAAATTGACAAATATGTCATTAATGAGATATTATCTAAACAGTTTAAACAGTTTAAACATTAGCACGAATTACATTATCATCATCTTCACCTTCATATAGTTTATAATGAATAATGAATTAACCTATAATTTTTTTTTAATTTATAATTCATATTTTATATTTACACGAGAAAAACCAACTTTTATTATATAATATATTTATACACTTTCCCCACATTTTAAATATTGCCAGAAATGACTTTTTATTATTTAAAGTTTGTTCATCTATAAAAAAAAATATAATATATATATAAATGTATAAATATGTGTGCATATGCATTTATGACAAATGTTTCATCAAAAAAAAAGAAATTGTACTCCAGTTATTTCTATATTTAAAATTTTTTAGCAACAGTAACGTGATAAACAGATAAAATAAAACAAATAAATAAGTAATCAATAAATAAATAAATAAATAATAAATAAATAATTAATTAATTAATAATAATTAATTAGATTTTAAATAATTAATAAATAATTTTTAAATAATAAACATCCATCGTGAAACCATTTTCATTTCTTTCATATGATCGCTACTACTAAACGAGTGAACCAGAAATAAGGACAAAAAAAAAATGAATGTGAAATTATAAATAATAATGCGTAATGATGTTAAAAAAAAAAAAGGGGGATGGATGTGACTTTAACACTATCCACGTTCATTCATTTTTCATTCATTTTAATCCATTCTTTCATTCATTTCGATTTTTCCTTCATTTTTTTTTTCATTCAAATTTTATTCCCCATTTCGTGGATGTCATTAGCTAAGCAATAACTTTAATTTATGTTCAAATTTTCCGTTGAACTTTATAAGACAATTCTTTAATAAATAAAAATTTAAGGTAATGTCTCAAATATATAATATCTTAATATATACATCTATCTATCTATCAGATATATCTCTTTAATATATAATATAGATTATTCAAATACAGATATATCTTCTTGTTTGGGTTAAATCTTGATTTTTTAATTTCCGATATATAAATAAATATATGTATACATATTGTAAAAAATGTATACAGTATAAAATGGAATATAAATATAAATATAAACTAATAAATATCAATATAATTCATTAATCACATGAGAAGAAGATTCAATTAAATATTTTCCAAATAAAGTTTCAAATAAAGTAATAATAATATATAATAATGATGATAAGTAATAAATATAAGTAAAAAATCTGCAATCTTCGTTTTACATATTATAACTTGCATAAATATTTCTTGCATAATATTATTACAACTTGCATAATAACTTTTTTGCATATGCTTGCATGCATGAAAAAAGAACGCGTTACGTGCATATCATTAATTTACACTAAACTTAAAATCATTTTATTATTGTTTTTATTATTATTGTGAACTAAACCTTTATTTATTTATTTATTTATTTATTTATTTATTTATTTATTTATTTATTACAATTATTTTTATTACATTTATTATTTATTTATTTCATTTAGTATTTATTTGTTTTTATATTGTGTAATTTCTATTACAATCAAATACGGTAAATCGGATGTACAATATACTATTCATATATGATTTTTAGTTTAAAATATACTGTTTATCTTAGTATTATACAGCTTATTTTTTTTCTCTTTACATTTAAAGTTAGTTTTCTCTCTATTTGTCTTTATTTATAATTGAATGAATAAATTTAAATATGCAACAAATCACCTGAAGGTAACAGATTTACTTTTCCCACCTTTCCATACTTTGGATAATTTACTTATATACTCACAATATTCGTATTGTATACATATCAAATATGATCACTATGATCATTTATGGATTACTTGTTTTAAAAGAAAGAAAAAAACTTCTGTATTTCTTTCCTCATATAGATATATATAACTAATATTTTTTTTTTTTGTTTGTTATAACTTATTAATAGTCGACATAATCAAACATTATCTAAATCATTTAAATTCATTTTTTTTATAAAATATAATAAAAAAATTAATAATAATATGCATTGAGTAGTATAAATGTATATTATTATTACATATGGATATTATACAATGAATGCATATATAAAAACTATAATAAGAATCAATCAAATATAAATAATAATAAATAAATGATTTTTTTTTTTGAACAAAAGATCGATTGTTTTCAAAATAAAAAAATTTGAAAAGTAATTTTTTATTATTATTATTAACAATTCCAAAATAAGGATGATTGTGTTCTGATTCTAGTAAAAACCAGAATAACATGTGTCAAATAGCAATCAGGTGATACTATATTACCCCATTCCTCGGGGATTCCGTGAGTACATTAAATCTTTTAATGAACTATTTTTGGTTTACATTTTAGACATTTTAAACATTTTAGACATTTTAGTTTTAAGTATAAATGCAAGAAAATCTTTCATCTTCAATATTTCATCGCCATGCAAAATTACTTGTTAACCCGATGGAATTTATAAAAAAAAAAATTTCCAAATCGATAATTATAATAATTACACTTGATTTATTAGATTTGGTACATTATCTGTTATATTCGTTACATTATTATGATTATGTACTCTGTAGTTGATAAATGAGATCAAACACAAGTTTCATTATATTATATTATATTATATTACATAATTACATGATTACATGATTACATATTTTTGATTATTTTATCTTATTAGTGATATTAATACACACATACACACATACACAATAAACATAAACTCCACGCACCAAAACTACAAAAAAATGCAATTTGTAATTGTTCGTGCTTTGTGTGTGTGTGTACCGTGTTGTTAGGGTGTTTTGCCCCCGGTATTTCATCTGTCTATCTTTTACTAAATTTCGATGATATGATGATGATATTTGTAATACTAAAAAAAAAAAAAAACCAAGGGGTGAGTAAATTTTTATTATTATGATTTACCAATGACAGTTAATTTAAAAAAAAAAAAAAGATATATACTTTAAATGAATACTTTAAATGATACTTTAAATGAAAAGATTGAACTAAACAAAGATGTACTTTATATACTTTAAAATATATACTATGTAAGTTATGCTGCATAAAAATGTTACACATCGGAAAATCTGGAATTCATTTTTACAATCAAACGAGATTAAAACTTTATTTTTTTTAACTAATAAATATGAATACACACGTACATGCAGGCATACATACATATACAGGCATACATGCAGATAAAAGAATGAAAAATAAATGAAAGAATTAAAGCAAAGAAATTAAAACAATTAAGAAACATTTAATATAAAAAAAAACAATAAAAAACAATTAGATTAAAAAGAATTAAAAAGAAAAATCGAATAAAAAACAATAATCAAAAAAAAAAAAAGAACCCCTTAAAAGCCAAAAATGCTATCATTATGTGTATGCATTATGCGCGTAAAATTACAGATGCATTATTATGCAATAAATAAATAATTCATCATATCTTTCATTTTTTTTCTCTTCTTTTTATAAATTAAATATTCTAATTATATAATTATGCACGAAAATGTTATTAAAAAATCTATAAAATATAGATATATATATATATACCTATGTAAACTGGTTTTTCTATTTTAAATAAATAAAAAAAAAAAGGCTAAGTAAATTGAAAACATGTTAAATACAAGTTTTTCCTTTTATTTTTTATTTTTTTTCCCTACGTGAAACTTGAATATCTTTGAATACTTAAATACTTGAATATTCGAATATTCGAATATAAGTTATATTAATTTGTATAATATGTTTTGCCTGTTCTCCAAATAAAGAAGAATTAACAAAAATATATACAGATATATTCATATATATATTTATAATATTAATAATAATATTTATAATAATTTATAATTTATAATAATTTATAATAATAAAATATTTTAAAATTTTAGATGAATGAATATTGAAATATTAAAAATGTAAATGAATGATATAATATGAATTACTAAATAAAGAATCATTATAGAATCATAATAGAATAAAATTTAAATCCGTCTTCTTCGTCCCTTTTTGCACGTGGCATTAGAAAGAGCACAAACCATCATTTATCATAAGATAGTGTTATAACTATGCATATTTGTATATTTGTGTGTAGTTGTTGTAGTAGTAGTAGTGGTAGCATTCATATATGTGATACCATAAATGACGATGAATAAATGATTGTAATTTATATGTACATCCCCGTATATATGTACTGTAATCATATTATAGTTATACATGCATATTTATACCGTTCATCTTTCTTTACATATATTCATCTTTACATCTTTGCATATATTACATATTATACGTAGAATCCAAAACCATTATAAAACTTGCTTTTTTTATTCCTTAAAAAAAATTTTTTTTACCTCCTTTGATCCAAACCCAAATTTCTTTTCATTATAAGATGACAAATCAAATCAAATTCAATAATTTTTCCTAATATATAAATATTATAAAAAATACTTTACCAAAAGGATTTTAATATTTTATATAATATTTAATAAAGTTATAGTATTAATAATACTAATAAAGTTATTAATATACTGAAATATTTAAAATAATTTATATTATTGAGGAATCAAAAAAAAAACGGATTTTCTTCATTAAATTTGAAGGATTGAATTTTATTTTATTTTTTTATTCTAAGATTGATGATTTTGATTATAATAAATTTAATAAGTTACAAAAAATGATTGTTCTTTTCTAAGATAAATAAAATTAAATTTAAATCAAATAGAATGGGAAATTATAATTGAGATAATTAATCAATATTTTCCATAGCCATTTCAGGTACAGATTAAAAGTCGAGTGAACTTGAGTGAACTAGTGAAACTTTTGAACTTTAAATATTATTCTGTGCTGCTGCGATTAGAGAAAAGATATTCTCTATATGCACGAGGTGAGTAGGAATTATATTTATTATATTTATTATTATATTTATTATATTTATTATTATATTTATTATATTTATTACATTTATATATTTTATTATATTAATTGAATAGGAATCCCAATAAATTTCATGAGGATCTACATAATTTTAATACGTTATAGTGTTGCACAATATTTATAATTTAAAAATTTAAAATTAAGAACCACTGATTTGATTTTGGTGATTTCTTGTTTTTTAGAATTGCCTCATTTGAGTCAATTGGATCAATATTGACCGAGAAATATTTCGATTTAAGTTAATTTAAGTATATATATATATATATATATATATATATATATTATAATATAGGTGATTACGAACCGAATAATAATATTTTCGTGTGGATTGGATCAATATTAACTGACATATTCTGATTTATAATTTATTAAAAACCGAGAATGTTATTTTTTACAAAGTTACACAATCACAGATAATATAATATTCCAATATTCCAACCAAAAAAATATGATGTGTTAACCCCCTAAAAATAATATTTCTAATTAAGATAGATATTAAGAAAACCCCCCAACTCAATAATATTTAAGAGCAAAGAATTATTTAATTATAAAACATCAAGCAGTAAATGATGACTTATGATGTAGGCAGTAATTTAATTATATTATATACATATATTATATATTATAATAGTCATTTATTATTTATTTATTTATTTACTATTTATTTATATGCATTATGCATATTATGTATACAGTGCAGTAGTGTACTGTTAATCATTTAGTATTATTTGGGTATTACATGTGATAATATAAAAATCATCTACTATTTATTTATTATTATTTATATTATTATTTATGTTATTTTTTTTATGAAAGATTTTCCTCCGCTCCTTCTTGTAGAGATCAAATAATTAATTCTTGAAATCATAATCATATTACCACAAAAATTTCAGGAAAATTTCAGGGATTAAAAAAAAAAAATTTTTTAACAAGAATAATTAAATTAGCATTTTTTTTTTTTTGTTAGATTATAATTTTCACTTTATCAGTCAATTAATTTAATTAATTAATTAATTGGATAATCAATTCGCCTTTATAATAGTAATAAAAAAAATATAAAAAATGTCAGATTTAAATGTATGTAAATAATTTGCAATTTATATTTTACTTTAGTATGTTGCGTGGATGTTGTTGTTTGCTTCTCCCTTGAAATTACGTAATTTTTTTGTTTTTTTTGGTCATTTCCTGATTTGGGGGGTTTTCAATTTTCTTTTTTAAAAAAATTTTTTTTTTTCTTGTGCAATCTGCAATCTCTACATTCTTTCCCCACTTACAACAACAAAAACGACAACACAACAACAACAAAATATGTGAGACAACCACAAAAACTAATCTTTATTCTTGTGGCGTTTTTATTTGTTTTTTTTTTTAAATACTTTATTTTCAAAATAAATGTCTAATTAAAGAATATTCATATGTTTCGTTCTTAAATTATAATCTTACAATTGTATAATATAATTATATTATTATTACCGTTTTTTCTAAGAGAAAAATTAATAATTCATATTTATATCCTCCTATTTTATAACTAAATTGTGTGGGGAACAGTAATTATTAATATTATTATAAATCCATTTTTTCGTATGTATATTGAATATTGAGAATCTCGTCAAATTACGCGAAAATGTAGAAAATGTTTCCTTTGTGTTATGCACATGTAATATTTTGCATCTTTTTTTTTTTTTTTTTTTTTGGTATGTGTTAACATCTTAACAAATATCTTAGTATTAAATTTTTTTTTTAAATAAATATGTAGTATGCTGTATATGCGTGTGGATTCACATACAGTGTGGGACAAAAAAAAATGACACATGACAAAAAAATGATTTTCTTCACTAAAAACAAATTCCCACGAAATGTCTTTTTCAACGAAAAAAATAGCAATGAAACTTTATTACATTTGTGGAATAACGGTATACATAATGCCAAAGAATTACCTACAATTTATAGAAACATAAAAAAAATAAAAAAAAAAGGTTCATTAAAGCATGTTGGAGGGAACGGTCGACCCAAAAAATTACCGCAAATGCTTCCCGGGTGCTTGGTCAATACATAAGGCATGACACATCTCTTTCTACAAGAACTTTGGCAAGAAAATTAGAAAATATGAATATAGAAGTATCTTATAGAACCATTGGAAGGCACCTTGCAAGTATTGGATATTTAAAAAAACTTCCCAAAGCAACCCTTATGTTAACTGAAGCACACAAACAAAACGTTTAGAATGGGCCAAAAAACACATTAATAATGATCGATGGAATAAAACAATATTTACTGACGAAACTGCTTTCCATCTTTTAGAAACACTGTAGAACGTTGGTATAAGGGAGAAAGACTAGTTCGTTGTATGCCTAAAGATCGTACAAAAATCATGGCATAAAAGGAAAAACGAGTTTATTTTGTTTTAAACAAATTATGAATGCTGAATTTTATGTGGAAATGCTTCGTACACATAACCCTGAGATCACCCAGATGCTTGGTAATAATTTTCGCTTCCAGCAAGACAACGACCCAAAGCATACAAGTTGTCTTGCCAAGGCCTTTCTTCAAGAAAATTTCCCAAAGGTTTTAGAGTGGCCATCAAATAGTCCGGATTGAAAACCTTTGGGCAATTGTAAAGAGTAACGTCGAGAAATGGATGCCAAAAAATCTAAATGATTTGGAAAGATTTACGATGGAGGAATGTCAAAATATTCCCCAAACGGTTCTAATTAATCTTGAGCAATTAATTATTGAAAATAATGGCGAACGAATATCATATTAATTTTTTATTAATAAAGTTAGCCGATCTTTGGCATTGAAATACATTTAAAATTTCACATGATTTATTATAATAATTGATTTTTTGATTCTTATTTTTTTTATATCTACGTTGCTGTTATGTGTGTTGAAATGCGTGTTTATGATATGATTACTCTTTTTAGTAAAAATAGTTCTCAATATAAATTTACTCGGAATGGATTTATAATATTGTTTAAAATAAAATTAAATAAGTTAAATGAAATTAAATTAAATGAATTTCTCATAAGACAAAGAAAAAAAAAAGAGTAATGTACTGTTGTATGTTTATATGTACAAAATACTTTGCAGGTAACGGATACTGCCAATGTTATTACTTGGGTTATTCTTTCTTTACATTCTTTGTATACTTTATATATCCTTTCATCATCATTATTAAATATTTCGCTTGTAGAAATAGCTTTATAAGTAGAGTTGTGCATGAATAAATAAAATCAGTTGTTTTATGAATATCAAATGCGTTGAAAAAAAACAATGCGTTTGATGTATGTTCGATGTATGTTCGATGTATGTTCGATGTATGTTTGATTGTTATTGGCATAATCTTTTTCATTAAAATAATATTTAAAATAAAATAAAAAATGAAAGTATACATGCAAAAATTAAATGCGCGATTTGGGTAACAAGTATACAAACAGTTTATATATTGTATACTTTTTTATTATATATCTGATATATATATTATATCCGATATATTAAAACATTATATAATATGTACAGTAAATAAAGAATAAAGAACAAAAGAAAATATAAATTATTATCACAAAAAATATTATATTGTGTTTATTTAATGTTAATACAAGAGTTCAATTGTTAATACAGAAGTTCAATTGTTTAATTATTACAAGATCATAATAGATAACAATCATGACAAATGTTTCTTTCTTACTTTTATTTCTTGATCTCTTCTAATTTGATATCTGATAACCAATCAATTTATTATCTTCTTATTATCAAGAAATAATTATTTTAAATATTTTATAATTTATTATAAATAAATAATCAATGATAGTGATTCGATTTACTTACAATTAACTTTATAATTAAACTGTATACTTATTACACAGCATTATTATGAAAAGTAATTACATCATCATTTTCATTTAATGATTTAATAAACTTGGTAAGCTTATCTACTAATTCCTTGTCATCATTACTAACAGTAATTGTAGATGAAGGAATATATCCACTATTCATACTTGTAACTTCATAATTGAACTTGTTCTTTAATTCTCCGGATATTGAATTTACTGACGAGGGTGTACAAGTAATCTAGATATTAATTAATTTATATATTAATTTATATTATGAGAATATTATAAATATACAAATATAAATAATGTAACTTAAATATAGTTTATACCTCTAAAGCATTATCTTCTTCTAATTCTTGTATGTCTTTAACATCTTCAAGCTCCATTGCATTTTCCATCATCTTATCAATGTCATCTTTTGTTTCACCAGAAGTGAATTGAACCGTGCCTATTATTATATCATTATTATATTATTATTATAATTATTATTATTCTTCTTATTATTCTTCTTATTATTATTCTTCTTATTATTCTTATTATTCTTCTTATTATTATTATTCTTCTCATTATTATTCTTCTCATTATTATTTTTATTATTCCAGTGATCTATAATAAATAATTAAATTCAAATTTTTTTTTTACCTTTTTTCTCAAACATCCAAGAAACGTTCGAAATCGATCCTCTAATTATTTTATTTTTTGCACCAAAAAACTTTGCATTATAGACCCCATTTTTGAATCACTATTTAATAAAGAAATATAATATATATAGACAAGATAAAATAATAAGAACGCTTATAATAAAATCATTCTCCTACCCAGCCTTAGTAAAAAGACTATTAATTTCTCTTACGGTTCTACGTTTATTATCTGTCAATGTCTCTCTGTGAATAAGAAAAGATTAAAAGAAGAAATTTAATAAATTCTAAATAAAATATATTGAAATATTAAATCTGAAAAATATCATTAAAATATCATTAAAATATCATTATATTAAAAAAAATAAATAAATAAATAAAATTTTACATTATGAAGGCAATTCCACCTGGTCCATATCCTTCATAAATTAAATTTTCAACATTATTATTTTCTTTTCCTTGACCTAATGCCTTAAATAAATAAATTTAAATTTAAGATAAATTTATTTAAATTTTAAAATTTGAATTTGGATTTAATAGATTTACCTTTTTAAACGCGTTTTCTACATTATCTTTAGGCAAGCTGTGTTTCTTAGCTTGGCTTAATGCAACACTTAAACGAACATTACTCTCAGGATCGGGACCTCCTCCTACTTTTTTTTTTTTTTGATATGTATAAGAATTGATATACATAAAATTAGAATTAAAAATAATTGTTGATATTCTTTATTTAAAGAAATTTAAACATAATAAATGATATAATATATATATTATGTATTTTAGGTGTAATATAAACATGTGATATAAAGATATTAATATACATTTTATAGCAAGTTGAATTTCCTTTGAAAGCTTGGCAAACAAATTTCCACGTTCAACATCTTTAGGGCCTTTGATGTATTTCACTTTACTCCATTTATTATGTCCTGAAAACCTTTTTTGTTCAAGCAGAAAATCATTATGGGGTAGTAACGTGTGTTGTAAGTTATCAAAATAATCGTAACTGAGAATAAAAGAAGAGGAGGAGGAAAGGGAATAGCGTAAAGGTAAAATACGAGGTAATGAAGTAAATCGAAGCATAATTTTTTTTTTAATCTTCCCAATCTTACTGTACACATATAATCGTACCACATAAAAAACACACCTACTATCATTACTAAATTTGATGATAAACAAGTCCTGAAGAGAATAGGCGAATATTATCAAGTTTGGTTTTGTAAGCAGCAAAATACCCAATTTTTTGTGAATATAACCACAAGATTCACAAGTTTACTTGCATATTCTTCTATGCAAACAACTATTTTAGTCGATTTGCAATTCATGCTAAAAACTCTTTTTGATTTTCTTTGATTTAATCATTTCGTTAACTGTTATATTTTTTTAAAAAAATTCTTTGTATTTAATTTTAATTATATAAATAAAATATTTAGTTTGATTTAAGTCAATATTATAGAATAATAAATTTTAAAATTTGGTGATAGAACAATTATCTATTTGTGTAATTTTAACAAGTATATAAAATTTTTATGTTTTATAAATTATTTTCACAATAACTATGTCACATGTCTTAGAATAAAATCTTTCAATAAAAATTTATAGAGTTTTGGAAGGATTGGAATTGGAAGTCCAACAGTACAGAAAGCTTTTGACAGTATTTGAGTAATGTAGGAAATTCACTAAATGTTGACATGCAATTCCTCTTCATCATCCAGATTTATTGGTCTTTTCTATTAATTTGAGAAAAAAAAAGTTTGCAAAAAATGCTGAGTCAGGACTTTCTCTAACTGCAATTGCACGTCGCGGATGCTCACTGTCTGGATGCTCACTGTCTGGACGCTCTTCTTACCCCATATACGCAACACAGATGCGTAGCACATGTAGAAATTGAAGCGCGAAAGTACTGACCTTTAGAGAGCTTCAATTTTCTTTCCTTCTTTTGTATTAGATCCAAATTTCCCCCAATATTTCGAGTTCTTTTGGTAAAACGGAAGTGCAAATCGCGCAAACCTGAATTGCGATTTTTCTCTTTAAAAAATTCATCCCATTCCCACAACAATAAAATTTTACCAGGCCAGAAGAATCAATTCAACTAAATATATAAAATATAGAGAAATTGTTTATATAAAAAGTGAAATTGTTTGTATAAAAAAAAAAAAGAGAAATTGTTTGTATATAAAAAAAAGAGAGAAATTGTTTATTTTCAAGAACGCGTAAACAGGTATGTATATGGAGTCACGTGGAATTCGTGGAATTTATGAACCTTCAAGAGGTGAATTATAATTATTAAATATATATTTCGAAAAAAAAAATTTTTTTGGAGCAATTATTTAATTGGAGGTAACGATAATAAAGTGGAAACCGAGATTGAAAAAGGTTATAAAAAAAGTTGTAATAAGAAGGTATACTTGAAGAGAAACTAAATTTATGGTCCTAGCCAATAGGATAATTACAGATATTTTGATAAATTCATATAAATTAAACGATGAATTCTTTTTCTTACACAGTTTCTATTATTATTACTCTTTTATTATCAGTTTCAATATGTAAACGATAACAGTTCTACCTAATTCAAGAGAATTTTTTGAAGAGTTATATAAAGGTGATAAGATAGCCGTAGTTTTTCAAGTTGGCGATGGTGGACATTTGGATATAGATTACTTGGTAATTTTTTATAAATAATTTAATGGTTGAATAATTATCTTAGCTTTTAAAAAATTTATTAAAAATTGACATCAATATTAAAAAGATTATAAAAAGATTATGAAAATTTATTATTCTCAAGTGATTTGTATATTATATAAACTTTATGGAAGTAATATCTCTCATTATTTATTTCATATATTTTTTGAGAAAAGTAATTTTACTGTATTATGTATAATAATTAAATAATAAAAATAAAATTCTAATTACAGTATACTTACTTTTTTTTGGTTAGGTATTTAAACTTTATTAGTTTTAAGACAAGATGGTTTTTCACAATAACAATATACCATCTCCAATAACTAATTCAATGCTTACCTATCAATACTAATACTACAAAATAGCTTGTGGTTCAGTTTCAGTTTAGTAGTAAAACTAGCCCATTTAGAGCCTTACTTATACAGATATCACTATTATGACAAAAATTGAAAATTTAATAATAGGAGAAATCTGATATCCATTATTTTGTAATTAGTTATTTAAATTTGATATATATATATTATATGATTGAATATATCTAATAATTATTTGATCTATAAATTTTTTCAATTTTTGTTTGTTTCTAATATATTTTATTACAGATGAATGTTAAACCGAATATTGACTGTAGTAATTTGGGATTTTATTTGAAATCATTAATTAAAATTCTTGTATAATCAAAACCAATTTTTTCAACTTCCTGCAAATAATTATCCTTGTAGTGAAGGCAAGAAATTCAATTAATTATAGATACTATTTTTCATTATAATGCACGAAGATTGAATGTCCTCCCTCGTTAAATGAACAAAAACTTATTTTGTAAATTAAAGGAATATATTACTAAAAAATTTTTTTAATTATGATAAGATTATGTTAGTTGACAAACTGCATATTTTTATTATTATATTTGAACTTATTAGACATTTCATATATTTCATAATTTATTTAATAAATAAACTAAGCACCTCACTTTAACCACAAATAAAGAAAATCTAAAAGAAATCTTTTTAATTAAAAAAAATTTTTTTTTTTTGTTTTTATTTATTTTAAATAACAAATGCCATCATCATCATCATCAGGGAGCTTTCTTGACTTTCTCGAGAGCTTCATTATGAATTTTAACAAGTTTCTTTTTACGATCATAATATTCTTGACTTCTAACTTTACGTTTTTCTTCTAGTTTCTTAACAACCTCTTCATATTTCCATCCAACTTCAGTGGATAGACGAGTGAGAGTTGTATATTTACGACCAGGTTTCAATTTTAAAACTCTAAGGGCATCAGGTACCACCATACGTTTTTTCTTATCATATGGAGGAGGTATTCCTTCAAAAATCTTAAGACGACCTAAAGCTGCTGCACCGCGAGAAGTTTTATGTGGAATCATACCACGTACAGCCTTATAAAAGATTTTAGAAGGAGCACGGAAATGGAAGGGACCTCGTGCTGGATTAACAATCATTCGTTTACGAAGGTAAGCATGATACTTAACTATATAATATTGATTATTAATTAAATATCCAATCAAATATTTGATATATAAAATAAACGAAAAATAGATGTCATTAGATAGATCATAATAATTAAAAAACAAATTGAATCAATTGGAAAAAAAATTGTGCATACTCTTATTTCGGAAGAAAGTCCCTGACACATTTAATAATTCAGCGCGGACAATAACAATCCTCTGACCAGATAAAATTTGCTTTGCTACAATGGATGCCAAACGTCCAAGGAGGTGACCTTTACCATCAACAATGATCACCTATTGATAATTATTAATAATTATTAATATGAATTATATCATCCGAACAAAATAATATTAAAAATTTCTTGTTTATTCGTTAAAATAAAAATAATAAATATTTATTTAATACCTTTTCGAATGTATTCATATTGACAAAAGAAAAAAGATTTTTTAATCGAGATAGAGGAATTTTTTTTTACAAATCAAAATTTTCATGTATGACAATAAATCATGTGTATAATTTTTTTTATTTAAAAAAAAATTTTTTTCATTTTTGTGAAATGAGGTTTATTCTTTACACGTTTATTAAAATGTATATTAAATTAATTTAAAATCTTAAAAATAATTTTGGTTTGAGAAAAATTAACTTTAATTTAAAGTGATTATGTTGGTATGTCGACCAAGTCCTTAATTAACAACAGTTGTGGCATCATGTTTATTTTGATCTGATCATCCGTCAAAATGAATTCTGTGACGAACCCAAAATTACTATGGAACTTGTAGAATATCAAAGTTAATATTAACCATGCGAGAATCCTGCAACACGAATAGCAGAACATTACCAGTGTATTTTATACTTTATTATTTTATGTTTATTATTTTTGCTATTGATATCATTTATTGCTTATTACTATTGTTATAGGTATCGGAATCTGGTTGTTTTTATGTATCTTTTAGTATAACAAAGAAATGGTATTTTGATCTCAACCTGTAAATATCTTGTAAATATTGTAAAGATTATTATGGTGATTATAGTCACTACTAAAGGATGGTTGGAATGTTTTGGACTAAAACAAAATCGTGATTACTTTTATACCATAGACATTGTCAATGATTATGTCAGCCAGTTCAATGTCAAGGGCTCATATGTGGTCAAAAATCTTATCAGATTCATTTGTTTTGAATAAAGTTCAATTTGAACCAATCTGGGAGATTACTCAAGTAGTCTGTTCAACAAGTTCATTTATGTAATATATTTAAACTATTTATTAATTAATAAAGAATATTGTAAAGTTGTTTTAGACAAAACTGATTCTAAAGAAAACTCTGAAGATAATGAGCCAATATCCAAGAACTATTTAAGCATGCAAATAATAATGAGGATTTTAGTAGTGATTTTCTTATTTTGAATGCATTAATGAATTTAATGATGAGAATCAATTAAACTGATAAATGAAATATTGGAAATGTTGCTATAAGACAAGCATAATATAAGTTTCACATACTTAAAATGAATTATAACCGATAATAGTAAGATGAGCCATATCAATAAGTCTCGCATATCTATAAACAATTGCATAGTGAGCTACACCTCTTGGTGAGGTTCAAGGAAAAACTGACTGGTGCCTTCTATTAAGCAAATAGAAACCAAACTGTTGTGTCTTAGGACATAGCACGTTAAAATTCTGGGAGAACCATTAATAGAAAAGAGGTAAACCTTTGCCCAACAGCATAATAAAATTACAGAAATTTATCAAACCGATAATTTTTATGATCAAAATTCCAGAAATTTACATTATGCTAGAATTCCAAAAATTTCTGTAGGTGTTATTATATTATATTATGGAAATTTAACAAGGCAAAATTTCCTGATGTTGATAAGGATGTAGAATATTCCTTTGAAATAAATGAAAACAAGTGAATGAATTAAAATCATTATTTTTTTTTTGTTAAGCCACCATGTAATAAATTCAAGACCTTTGATAATGTAATTTATTTTGAACACGATTTCTTTTCCCCCCGTCCAGAACGTTGGTGAATATGTCCTCCCATTCTCCATATCAAGTACAACAAATACGTCGAGGTCTATAAATATTTTCATAAAAACATTGACAGATTATTGAATATATTTTCAATATATGCAACCTGAATATGATGACCATTTATTGACCAAGAATGATTATTGCATCCACTTTCTCGACTAAAATTTAGTAATAAACTTTCCACATCCAAAACATCCTTCGCGTTTGAATTGTTTGATAGATTACATTTTTTTAATTGTTTATCTTTTTTTTATAAAAAAATGCGAATCACAAACTCCTAATTTTGTATAATCATTATTCACTTGCTTAACTGCCTCTTGATCTATTTAACATTCCTCATAAAGATTGTCATTTATATGTTAAATTACATGAGTCATTAATATAATCAATAATTACACAGGGTGTAAATGCTGATTCAAGTAAATTAATATTTCAAAAGTCTCCTTATTTTACTATCACAAGATCTTTCATCATTATCAAAATCATCATCATCACTTTCATCAAAAGGTTTAAATTTGTTACGTAATAATTGTATAAATATTACTAATAAATCACATACCTGATTTTGTTTATACTTGAAAGAAATTTTCATTAAATTGATAAGAAATACTATTATTTAAAAGGTCCTCTGTTTTGGTACACCCTACTTGGTCCTTTTGCATGTTAAAAAGTTGCAATTTTATAGTGATTGACACAATGTATTCTATTATTTAGTTCTTCAAAATATTTATAATAAATTTTTTCATAGGACTGCATTGCTTTATTTATTATAAAAATAGCGCTCTTTTATAAAGTAAAGCTTCACATTCAAAAGATCACTAAACTGCTCTGCTACATTTTACATGAAATGTTTTTTCGGATAACCCACATGTCCTAATTAGTAGATTATTAAAAATTTGTCACGCGTATAAAGTTAATATAAAAAAATTCTACATAATACATATACATTTTTAAAATAAAGTATTTCCTAAACAAATAATCTATTCATTATTACAAAAAGTCAGAATATGTATTCAACCGTTTAGATTAATTATTCAACAATAAAATCGTATGAAAGATGTCCATATCATTCGCTGCTATATCAAACAGCTTGGCGTTGTTCTCGTTGTTCTGTTTCCTCAGTAGATCTAGTCGATAAAAGGCAAACTAGAACTACGACGACAACTGCAACAATAATTCCAGCTAGAGCTCCGGGCTCCTTGACATAGCTTGTACAGGTACAAAAAATAGTCGCGCTATTACACTTATCGCATCAACCAATTTCCGTAAGTTTGATCGCAGAATGCGCTTAATTGTGCACAAGTGATTGCTTCAGGGCAATAAACCATAATCTAGTGGTGAATAGAAAAAGAAAAATGGATTAATAATTTAAGGATATATATTTAGTCACGTCAATCAAGGAATTTAATTATTCTTTATCAAAATATTGCGGTTTTTTCGTTTCTTTGAAGAGACAGACGGTTCGTAAAAAGCTATATTAAATGTTAAGGAATTATGCTCGGAGAGAGAGTAAATGATCTGTTAATAGGAATTATTTAAAATGATAGACATGAAATGTTATTGTATATATAGGATAATCTAGAAGTCGCAAATTTCCTTTTTGGTACGAGATAATGTGCACCCAAGATTTATGAAAGTACGCATTCATGCCCGATATGGACAAACTTTTAGTTATTTAATAAGCGTCACGCTTTACATTACTGTATATAAAAAAGTGCAGGAATTCTACCAACACGTGATCACTAAAATTTACAGCTTTCATGATTTAGATTTGTTATAGTTTTTCTTTGTCATTTTGGTGTCTCGTTCCTTTTCTTTGTCACTTGGTGTCTCGCTCCTTTTCTTTGTCATTTCGATGATTCATTCCTTTTCTTTGTCATTTCGATGATTCATTCCTTTTCTTTGTCATTTCGATGATTCATTCCTTTTCTTTGTCATTTGGTGTCTCGTTCCTTTTCTTTGTTTTAATGTAAACAAAACAAGTTTTATAACATTTATAAAATAATTTATACTGGGATAATCAGGCCTTCGTTAAAAAAAAAATTCGTTAATCTTATAACAAAAAAAAAAATCCGGAATAACGTATAACGAATATTTTTAGAAATTCGTTATTTATTTTAATGAAATTAAAATTTACTTCGTTATACTTAAAAAAAAAAAAATCCGATCTAATAAAAAATTCGTTATATCAAGGTGCTATTTAATATGCATTGCCACCAGGTTTACGTTATAGCTTATTTAATTATATCAATTTGTTATATCAAACTTTTTTTATTATCAGTTATAGAAAAATTGGGATCCTATCAAATATTCGTTATATCAAGAAATTCGATAAAAAAAATTCGTTGTAGACTGTATACTTTAATTATTCTTATTTAATAATTAAATGTAAATAAAAATCCGTTTAAAAAAAATTTAATATAATAAATAAAAATTGTAATTTTAATATTTAATAATTTCAAAATTTATTTGTAAAATGGAAGAAACAATTTCCTATATATTATACTTCTTCTAGCAAAATAAATCCAAAAATACAAGTTAAACTTTGAAATGAGTAAAAACATAATTAATTCAATAGTATTTATAAAATTAATAAAAAAACAATGTATTACATGAATAATCTTTGAATGTTTGAGGCATAACTCTTCTACATTTATAAAGAGTATTCTCTGATAACATTTTTTCAATTGGTATAAAATTTTTTTTCCACACATTTAAAATTCTTTTTGCTTTGTTGATCTTTAAGAATTTAAGTGATTTTTCCATTGTATCAATAAGATGATTATAATAATGCCTCACATTCTTCATTTTCTTCAATAATTTTTAATTTTTCATTTTCAATAGTTTCAATATTTGATGTTATTTATAAAAATTGAATAGAATTATTAATATGAAATCATATGTATTTTTTTTTTTTGATTTCTTTAATTAATACTTGCTTTGATACCTTAATTTAAATAAATAAAAATTTAAAAAAATTCATATTTATAAAAATTAAATTTATATTCAAAATTAACTTACACCTAGCGCGTTCTTTGGAATTACCATTTAAGGTTTATTATTTTCATCATTATTGGCTATATAAAGTCAATAAAATCAGGAACATTTGATCTTTATTCTTTTTTTGTTGCACGGCTTTATTTTATGTATGGCAAGTTTTGCAAGTTCGAAAAGATTTTTTCATTACTGATAAACTGATAAAGGCAAATTGGTTTCACATCCTTTGCAATAATGTTATCTATTATCAATATTATTATTGGATAGAAGAGAACTTGAATTCATGTTTGATATTATCTATGATAAAATATTAAATAATGGCAAAAACAAACGAGACATCAAAAATGTTTATTGATCATGACGCGTGTCAAATAATCATTTCCATTAATTGAGTCAATGGATTTTTAATTTTGATGACATGTATAATGTCCTCACTTGTTAAATGAACAAAATCTATTTTTGTAAATATTACTAAAAAAAATTTTTTTAATTATGATAAGATTATGTTAGTTGACAAACTGCATACTTTTATTCTTTGAACTTATTAAACATTTCATATATTTCATAATTTATTTAATAAATAAAACTAAGTACCACAAAAAAAGAATCTAAAATAATATTTTTATTTTATTTTAAATAACAAATGCCATCATTATCATCAGGGAACTTTCTTGAGAGCTTCACTATGAATTTTAGCAAGTTTCTTTTACGATCATAATATTCTTGACTTCTAGCTTACGTTTTTCTTTTAGTATCTTAACAACCTCTTCATATTTCCATCCAACTTTAGTAGATAGATGAGTGAGAGTTGTATATTTACAACCAAGGTTCCAATTTTAAAACTCTAAGGGTATAGGTACCACCATATGTTTTTTATTATCATATGGAAGAGGTATTCCTTCAAAAATCTCAAGAAGACCTAAAGCTGCTGCACTACGAGAAGTTTTATGTGGAACCATACCACGTACAGCCTTATAAAAGATTTTAGAAGAAGCACGGAAATGGAAGGGACCTCGTGCTGGATTAACAATCATTCGTTTACGAAGGTAAGCATGATACTTAACTATATAATATTGATTATTAATTAAATACCCAATCAAATATTTCATATATAAAATAAATACAAATAGATGTCATTAAATCATAATAATTGAACGTACTCTTATTTCGGAAGAAAGTCCCTGACACATTTAGTAATTCGGCGCGGACAATAACAGTCCTCTGACCGGATAAAATTAGATAAAATTTGACTACAGTAGATGCCAAACACAAGCCCCGTGAGAACTTGCGATGCAACCTGAGCGGGGCTCGCATGTGTTTGCCAACCGACACGATATATATTCTAACTTGTACAATTGTGTCTATAGATATAGCTTCCTAGATAAACATTATAATAATAATTAACCAAATAACCAAAAAAAAAATATAATTAATAAACAAATATCAATTATCATTAATTTGCTTACTTCTACTCCTGCTTTTACCCAGAGTAACATTTTTCTGTGCACATACTGAGAGGAATCGCTTGGTGAACGCAACTCAACAACAAAATTCGGAGCAATTGGGGGATACGGCATATTTTTTTCATCATTTGTTAAAGTATTCCACCTGCAATAATAAAAATATAAATTAACGATTGTGCAAAGCATGAAAACTATCTTTATATTTAATAATATTCAAAAACCTGGCTTTAAGAACAACAAAGACATTAGGAGCTAGAATACTTTGTTTACTAGGATCATTAGGATTTTCCGGATTAAGCAAGGTATAGGCTCCCTAAAATTAAAATAATTAAAATAATTGCAGTATTATAAATATAAAGAATGAAATATAATGTTGCATAACATACTTGAGAAGAACAATGACGCCCAACCAAGTTCATATTGGTATGGTACAAATTAACAACTTGATAAATAATTTCTGATTTTCTTTCACCTAATGATATTCTTTCATAATTCTTATTAACGCTTTAGCTTGATATAATAAATAAGTCATGCCCCAAAACATCATACCGAATTCATTGTGAACTGAAAATGGTCGAGTTGTCCCTAAATAAGGCTCATTCGAAGAACACGAGGATTTGCGGATGCAATTTTTTTCAAACTGCTGTAGATTACAATCAGGAATAATAATATGTGGAATATTAAGAGAATCAGAAATGTCTCGGGCTTGCTGTGGTATCCTTTCACCTGAAATACGCATGAATCATATTGTAAATCTCGCTTAATAGGTAGAATTTGGTATAAAAATGATATATGATTAGCTGAATCTTTATTTCTTAACTAATAAAAAAAAACAGACTAGTAATAATTCCTTTGTTTATTTTTCTGGTTGATTTTTCGTTTGTTATTAAAAAAAATTCGTTAGACAATAAGATTATCAGTTATATAAAGAGAGAAGATATGAATTCGTACTCGGAAGTTAAAAGTAAGAATAGTTTATACCATAGCCAAAGGGGTCCAAATCCAATACAAAATATATAAACAATTAAAGGAGAAAAGAAAAATGTAAGCAATATTATGTAAACAATAAAAGGAGAAAAGAAAAAACGTAAGCAATAAAAATAAAGGATTTTCTTAAGGTTCATATAATTAAAGTAAAATAAAAGAGTTTTCTTAAGGTTCATATTTGGTTTTTCACGATTACATTATCGTTTTTTTAATTACTTAAACTATGATCATTATTTCATACATAACATCCTTTAAACTCCTTTAAACATGATATGATGTTCATGTAAAAATATCAATATCATCAACTTAAAATTCCTAGAGTATATGACAAGAAACCTTTCCCACCCTCAAATTTGAAGCGAAGTTCAAAAATTACATACCACTCGTTCCTAGACTATTAATTCTGATAATTCCGCTAACATTAGAGCAGTGACCGTTATAAAAAAAAAGGTTGTCATTGCATGTGAGAAAGTTTTTGAAAAAGCAATCAATTGATATAATCATTTTTCATACTCATTGTCCGCCCTTTTAGTAATTGATAATTGATAAAGTGGGAGTTAAAATTTAGTGCACATTGTTGCATTTTAAATTAATCTACAATAAATACTGCTTTGTCCAACGATTTGATTTTAACATTATCCCGATTCTGCATCTACTTAAAGCAACGTAAACTGGCCTCGTTCAAATATTTAGGTATCAAGATTTACTGATATGTCAGGTAAGGTTAATCCCTGAACTTTGTGAACCGTTAGTGCATAGGCATTAATAATGGGGTATTGGGTTCTACTCGCTGGAGCTCTAAGAATGAATGTGCATTTTTTTATAATTGTATCAGCAATTCCGCCTTGAATACAAAAAGCACATCTAATTTCTTGTGATATTACATTTATATCAGTAATGATTCATTACATATTTTCGCTTATGATATATATATATTTTATTATGCAATTTACCTATAATTATGAAGTAATACGTAATACGCATTCTCATAATCTACAAAGAAAAAATAAAAAAAAATCAAAATAATAATAATAATCTTTTTTTTTCTTGCAAACCATCTTCTCTTAATAAATAAATAAAATAAATATAAATTATAGTATGAAACAAATAACATCGAAAATTAAACGTTTATAGAGACAAAATTATTTTTTAGCACTGAAACCATCAAAAAAGTTGACTTCACTAAAATTATTTCCATGACACGTTCTTTTTTTTTCTGTAGAAAATAATCTATTATTATCTGTTATTATTATTATTTTAATTAAATTTTATCTTACTTGATAATGACATTAAATACTTTAACACAGGAATATAAGATATTTTAATATATTGAATGGTTTTATTAAAAAGAAATTTCATATAATTTTTCATTTTAAAATAAGGAAAATGATATTGTAAAATATAGAATGAACTTATTTGTTTTCACAATTTCAATAATGCCATACCACTATATACAGTATATAGTAATGATTTATTTAATATGGATAGTAAGTAATTTATATTATTACATTAAATTTAATATGTTATACATTACTCCTCTGATCTGCATATAAGTAAACAAATACCTTTTTTTAATTATCAACAATACAATCTCTCTCTTTAATATGCATATGCATAACACCTCCTTATTCATTTCTTTAAAAACATATAATGTTAATAATACTATATCATGTTGATAATACTATATTATATAATTCTCGTATATAATACTAGAACCCAATATGTATATTTTTTATTTTTTTTTGTTTTCAGATAGTAACTGACTTTTCCTTTCAGTTTTGGGAAAAGGTAAAGTTCTAAAAATTAAAATACTTTGTCTTCAAATATATATTATATATATTTCAACTACATACGAAAATAACATGTCATAATTAAGAACATAAGTAATATGAAAATTAAACTAATTAATTAATTATTGATTCATGATATAATTATGACTAATATATAACTAATATATACAATATTTATAGAATACAAACAAATGGATCAAATATATCAAAATGTTTAATAAAAATAATAAAAATAAAAAAATTGTTAACAAAAATAATAAAAAGAAATCCAAAAAAAAAATGAATCTTTCTCTTCTTCCTCTTCATCCTCTTTTTTATCCTCTTCTTCATCCTCTTCTTTTTCTTTTTTGTTCTTCTCCTTATTATTATCATCTTCTTCTTTTGTTGATGAATCATCATCATCTAAAGAAGAAAAAAAGAAAATGATAAAATATTTAGATTCTGAATCCTATAAGTAAGTTAGAGTAAAATCGATTTTTTTTTTAATTTTTTATATTATACATATATTAAGTACAGAATAACTAATACAAATTTATATAATTATAGAAAGAATTATTTTTAATCTATAAGTCAAAATATAAAATTAAATATTCAATAAAGGCAGAATATATGTAGCTGGCGTTGTCACCAATGATTTCTAATTCTCTTAAGGTTAAACCAGTAGACACTGGTCAAAAATTGATAAAACATACACATATCGGATACCCGATATGTGCATGGTGTTTCCTTAATATCGGACATATATCAGGTACCCAATATGTGTAAAAAATATTTTATATATATATTGGGTACCCGATAAGTGTAAAAAAATATTTTCTACACTTATCAGATATCTGATATATGCCTGATATTAGGGACACACCATGCACATATCGGGTACCCGATATGTGCATGTTTTATCAATTTTCGACCAGTGAGAGTGACTTAACAGTTCTTTTAAAGAGTTTATAGTTCTTTTTCAAAGGTAAAACTATTGTTCAGTTGTTTTAGAAAGTATCACTGATTCAGTTATTTTAGAAAGGAAATCAGACCTTTCATCCAATTTATTTTAATATCTTCTTAAATTCATCATCACTTTTAGTATTAATATCAATTATTAATTGTTTTTCAATTTAATTATCATTAAATATTACTTCTATTTACCTAGGTTAAATATTATTTCAAGTTCAGAATTTATAATAATAATTTGTAATTAATTTTATTAACTTAAAAATAAGAATATTATACAATTATACAGTTAAGTATTTAATCTTATAATATCTATTATTCTTTTATTAACTATTATATTTTATATTCAAAAATTATTTTTATAATTTTTATTTCATATTTCAATATTTATTATTTTATTAATTCAATTGCAAGATAATTTTTACAAGTATTTATTTTGAAGTTACAAATTATAAAATTAAATTTATCAATTTTAAATAAGTTACAAATTATCAAAATTCAAAATTATAAAATTGTAAACTAAAGAAGGGCAAGGTAATTTTAGTCTCTTTTATACTTAAATCTAATAATCTTCATTACTGTACCACTACTGTACCTTACTGTACACTCTTTCTATTAGTTACTATTTCTTTATATTATTTACTAAATATATTTAATACTAAATAATAATATATATATTAATAGTTATTGTTAAATAATAGTATGTGATAATAATTAATATTATAAATTAATAATTATATTTGTATAACTAAGTATTACATGAATGTGTAATCTTGTATTACTATTCTATAACTAATTGATATGTGTTACCGAATATAAATATTAGTTGAAAAATTATTAAAATATCACTATTTGTTAATTGAATTAATATTTATTAATTAAATTTTAAATACTACTTATTAATTATTTACAGGTGTTTTTAGTATTGCATACTATACTTTCATTCTGTAACAGCGCAACGTGATAATATAATTTTAAAACTTTTATTCAAATTGAATAAAATAATAAATGAAAAATATATAATATCAAATATAGAAATCAAAGAAATGCTACAATCAAGATAGTAAACTATGTATTAATAATGGAAGGTTAAAGTAAAGGGAAATGAAAAAATGAATTTGAAAAAAATAAAGAAGAATACACAAATGGTGGCAGTAAGATTTTATAACAATATAATAATATAACTATTGGGTACAGTACACTGATCAAAATAAGGAATATCAGATATCTATCGTATGCCTATCGGAAATCTAATAAGTATACAATAGGTATCTGATATTAATAATTATAATAATTATATAATATATCGGGCACCTGATTGGTAGAGTCAAAATACAGAAGTTTGAATACTTATCAGATCCATATCAATTTTATATTGGATATTAATATTTTGATATTTTATTCAAATTTATCATTCATATATCGGATATCCAATTTTATTTATTTTTTTTATCAGATACATATCTTTTATAAATTGGCCATAGTATATCTCTATATATTAGGCATGATATATCTCTGTATATTGGGTAGTTTTTTTCTCTTTATCAAATATCTATCGGTACTTTTTATTTATATATATATATATTTTTATTTTTTTTATTTGCAAATAATCATAATTTTAGTTTATTATAAAAAAAATAATAAAATGAAATACATTTATTATAAAAAATATAAAATGAAATATATTATATATGCTATATAAAATAATCTATCTAATTATTTTTTTGATTTTTTGATTTTTTCTTTTTCCTTTCCTTTTTGTTTTTTTTTTACTACTAGTTTCTACTTCATGATGATTATTATTATCTTTTCGTTTTCTTTTTTTACTACTTGTTCCTATTTCATGATCATTATTGTCATCACTATTATTATTATCATCATCTTGGTCAGTAATATCTGGATTATAGATCAGAATGATTCTATTTTTTCACTTTAATTTTAAAGTGTTACCATATTTAACATCCAAATTGAAACGTTTTTTGATATTTCTACTTTTGTTAGTGTATGTCATGAAGATCTAATTTTAGTTTTTGACACTTTCAGCGGTTTGCACACAATATTGATTGCTGGGTCGATTCTTTTGTGCAGTAACTTTTTTAACTATAAAAAATATCATTTAATATCATATCCAATAGATGTAAAAATATTATTACCATTGATCTACTTACCGAATCGGATCGCCACCATTTATTTTTAATAAAAATTGATATTATTGTTTTACGTAAGCAGGTAGCAGTGGTAGCAGTAGTGACAGCAATGGAGATGGTGACATCCGTAGTAGCACTAATTCTACTTCTACTATTACTACTACTACTATTATTATTATTATTATCATCATCATTATAATTATATAATAATGATAATATGTTATTATTATTATTATTATCATTATTATTATTATCATTATTATTATTATTATTATCATCATTATCATTGTTATCACGATTATTATCATCATCGTAATTATCACAATTATTATCATCATCATCATCATTGTAATTATCATGATTATCATCATTGTAATCATTATTACGATTATCATCATTATTATAATTATTATTCCTTAATCCGTCTAGAGGACAAATTTGCCCACTAAAATTATTTTTGATCAACTTTTGTGTGACTACTCATGATTTCATTAAGGATCACCTTTCAATTATTAAGCAAATATGAGAGTGTGCTACCTTGCTGATCAATTTACACTTTCTTTCCCATGATTCTTTTAATAAACTCAAGTTTCACCTCTCCCAAAAATAACTTCTATGTCCTCTTCAACTAGACCAAATATAAGTTTAATTGTAAGCTCCTCCTCAAGTTTCTCTCCTTTCAGAAATACAGAAATATATGACGATGACAATGAAGAATATATTCCACTTTTAACATCCCGTCAACGTTCCTTGGATGATCTGAAACAAGACCTTGAGAATGACGAAAAGGATATCATGAGTATTCTTAGGGGTAGATGTAAAGTAACAGTACGACTGTCTCCACTTTGTAATATTGAATATTTTGTTCATCCGAGACTACAACATCGGGCGTTTGTTAATTTACCTGCACATTATGATGCAAATTTTTCAAAACTAATAAACCTTTTTCTCTTTTTTTTTACTAACAATATGTTAAACACGATAGTTACGAATACAAATCTGTATTCATTGTCAAAAAATACTGATAGTGCTAAAAGACAGTAACAAAACATAACTTGTAAAGAGCTAATTATTTGGATTGTATTGGTAATTTACCAGGAATTTTTTAAACTACTATCAATAAATCAATACTGACATGAGGATACGAAGCTTTCAATTCACGCTATTTCGAAACAAATGTTAGTAAAACGTTTTGAGTAAATTAAAAGGTATCTGCACGTCTCTTCTCCCACAGCTACAATTAACAATTACTTCAAAAAACTGGAGCCATTACTCTCAAAAATTCAGAATGTATCAAAACAATTTTATACATCAAGTTTGAACGTTTCAGTGGATAAAATGATAGTACGATTTTTTGGAAGGAGTATTTATACAGTTAGGATAAAGAACAGACCAACTCCTGAGGGTTTTGTTGTTTTGATACTTTCAATGAAGTAAAATATCAATCGGCGTCTCACTCGAGGCAGATTAATTATTAGTCAAAATGAATTGAAGAAAATTGAGATGGTCTACTCTACCTCAACCCTCGAACGCAACGGTTATATATACCTAATTCCAATAAGATGTGGCACAAACAGAGGTCAATGACTTGTAGTGCTTTACGTGGCTAAGAAAGGAAAAGCAGTATATCTGAGATAAATTACTAAAGAAAGTGACATATTATTATTTTAACAAGGAAAAAAGCGAAATGCATGTGACTCCAAGTTTTAAAATATCAATAGTTTCATAGACTTCTCTTTTTTAATTAAGTATAAACGGTTAATCTGTTTAAAAACGGAAAATTGGCTGAAACGTTTATAAATTTTATTGACTTCTCCTTTAATGAGGAGATGAATCGGTTTGCAGACCGAAATTAGTTAATGTAAATTAATTAAACTTTAATTTTGGTATAACCCAAATGCGATAAATTTTAATTAAACTTAGACTATTAATAGAGTTTTAATTAAAACATAAGTTACTAATTAAGTGTGGGAAAATAATTAAATTAAATATTTCCAAAATAGGTCAACAAGTATGGAACTTTAATTATTCAGACGATTCGGGCCGGAAAAATAATTTTCTGAAAAAGGAAATTCTGCAGTAGTTGATCTACATTAACATGTGACTGTAACCTGTGAGACAAACACATGATATGATTTGATTGGTGCACGTGTTTATAGATCGGCAACCTAAATTTTCTAGGGTTTTAGTCGATTCCAAAAATGTGACCATCCCTAAAAGGAGAAATTAAATCTGCTTTAGGCGAATTTCCTTTTTGGACGATTCCTTTATAGAAATTCTGCAGAATTTCCTTTTTGGGCGTGTCCTATTATGGGCAGATTGCCATTTTGTCATTTTCATGGGTAAAATTTTCCAATTTCCTTATTAGGGTTAGGGTTACTATAAAAGGAAAGACCATATCTAAAAACAGTAATCCTACTTTCTAAAGAGGTAACATAGTTATCAGATTAGGAAATTTAGGGTTAGGGTAAAAAATGAATTTTATGCTTTTGTTGGAATAGAAGTATCAATTGGCGTTGAGCTCGAGGCAGATTGAATTAACAATACGGTTCTCGAAAGAAGAAAGATGAAGTCAAATACTCCACCATCCCTCGAACCCGACTCTTTTTTATACCTTTTCGTAATCTAAAAGAAAACGTTTTTTGCGGTATACCCGAGATACTTTATCA